CTTTTGAGTTCAACTTAATGGGATGAAACCTTCCCTCTCTGATAGCTTCGCGGGTCAGCCTGATTCAGTCACTAGCGCTCTTGCCTCTTGAGTCAGAAGGGAGTGGGTTCGAGCCCCCTCGTCGGGGCTCAGTGAGCTTGCAGGTCTGGGCTGATGTTCCAGTGCAGTACTGGTACACTCTCACACACGCTCACACACTCACCTGTGCACTGTGCGTTGTCAGAGGCGCCGTCCTTCAGGTAAGACTTTAAATCGAGACCCCCATCTTCCCTGTCCAGGTGGACGTTAAAAGATCCTGCGGCACGACTCGAAAAGAGAAGGGAGAGTTTCTCTCTCCCGGTGCCCTGGCCCACAATCCCCCCCCAAATAAAATCAGTTCATTCATATCTGTCTCACATCTTTGATGCTTATGGACCAAAAAAATGCCATATTTTGTTGGTGCAGATAGTCAGTCACTAATGCCTTTGAGTACCTTCCCTACTCTAGGAGCCAGACATAAACTTTACTGTATTGAGGTCAAAAGGGAGTTTTGGAGGGAGAAGGCCCCTTCAGGTCCATTCGATCTTATCCTATGAAGCTCTTCGAGACGTCTCAATGACGTGATAAGGCGCCGTGTCAAATGCAAGGATTATGAATATCATTATTATTATCCTTCCAGAAAGTCCACCTTATTATCATCCTCCCATGGGCAGGTTTCTGGGTATTGATGGATGGTTGGAGAGGTTTAACATGGATGTCATAGGGAATCGCGTTCTACCTGGCTGAGCAACTTGGTTGAGTGCCAGTTTGACGGGAGGCTTGTTGCTAAGATGATGAAGACGTTAATGTCACAGGTTATTTTACAGTTGCTAAGCTGATGTTGTGGATGGAGCCTGCTAGGTTCTTACACTTTTAATAATAATAATAATAATAATAATCCTTGCATTTGATACAGCGCCTTGGCACGTTATTGACACGTCTCAAAGCGCTTCACAGGATATATAGTAAAGTGAAGTGAACGTATACTTTGTGTGCGAAATACAGCAACCAATTGCGCACAGCACCATCCCACACCACAGGTGGTCGGGGACTGAGTGACTGAATCTGTTCGTTTTTCGTTTTTCTTTTGTTTTCTTTGGAGAGAGAAAAAAAACCCGCTAAGAATTGCAAGGATTGTAAGTGACATCTGATGGTATCATCAGAGGAGTCAGCCTGACTGACTGACTGGGGTTGACAGAGTTGGGAGCAGATTTATTATCAGTCAGGGAGTCACTAACCCCAAGGACATTTCAGCCTCATATGTTAATGTTGTGCCTTGCACAGTAAGATTTACAACCCACGGACAATACAGAAGTCATTCCGAACATCTCCTCTCACTGCTCTGACTCTTGCATTCATTTCCTCCTGTTCGTCAGTTCCCAAATGACCAATTTTATTTGGGGAGGTAGGGGATGATTGTTGGCCAGGACTCTGGGTGAAACTCCCTTCTCTTTTCCATTAGTACTTCAACGTCCACCTGAACTTCCTCCAACCCATAATCTTCTAATAATAGTCCTCCTTGGATTTGATGTAGCGCCTTATCACGTCTTCAAAACGTCCTATAGCGCTGCACAGGATATACTGTAAAGTGTTGGGGGCTGAATGTGTTTTGTTGGTGAACACAGGGGCCAATTGGCGCACAACAATATCCAACAAACAGCCGTGAAGCGAATGACTAATTCTACTTTAGGGGATTGTCGGCCAGGACACTGGAAGAAACTCCCTTCTCTTTTTGAATAGAGCCACGGGATCTTTAATGTCCACTTGAATAGGCACAGACGAGACCTCAGTTTACCATCTCACATGAAGGATAGAGGCTCGAACAACGCAACACTTCCCACTCCCCCAGCTCTCCACTGGTAAGTCATCCTAGGCTGTGAGCTCAAAATCCCAATGTGGGGACTTGAACCCACAACCTTCTGAGAGGACCTAGGTTCGATTCCCGGTCGGGGCGAAACCTTAGGCAAGTTTTCTTACTCCACACGCCTCTGTTTACCTAGCAGTAAGAGAAACCATTAGACGATTGGGGGAAACACTTTCTGGGGGTAATAATCCATCCAAAAAGAAATGGGGGTCACTCAATCCACGACTGTTTGTGGGACACTGCTGTGTGCAATTGACTGCAGTGTTCTGCCCACAAAATAGGCAGTCAATTCGCTTTACAGTATATTCCGTGAAGCGCCTTGAGACATTTCAACAATGTAATAAGGTGCTATATTAAGGACAAGGAATTGACTTGGCTCCATCGGCTCCAAGCATTTAAAATGATTATTATTATTACAAAGGTGGAGCTGGATATTTATTTTAAAAGAAATCTATCAAAATAACAGATGGGTAATTATTCACAACGCATTCATCAAAACTGGTTAAATGTACAAAGTGGGTTCCAATCACAAGATTGCTTTGTTTTTCAAAGAACCTTCAACACATCTGATCTTATCCTTTGTTTACCCCACCGCTTCCTTCTCCTTTCAAAGTATTTAATTAAGTCGCACCTCAACTCCAGTTCCTTATAAACCTGTTCCAGCATGAATTTGCCTCTGGGTAATTTACTTTGTCAAACCTATTCCATGTCAGGCACACACCTCTATAGGTCCCCTTAGGCAAGAAGTCTCTTTCCTAATCTGAAGAGCCCCCCCACTCTGCCTCAAAACTACGAAACTCTCTACCTCATTCCCACCTTGTCAACTCTTTTCCCCGTCTTTCTTCCTCTTCAACCATGACTGCGGTCACCTTCCCCCTCTCCCCTCCCCGGCCACTATTAAGCATTCCGAGACACTACCCCACATGAAGGGCGCTGTATAAATGCGAGTTGTTCTGGTGATGGTGGTGGTGGCGGTAGTTGTTTACCTGTTGCTCGCAGCTGAATCCTCTCACTCATTCTCGTTGCTCTCTCCTCGGATTTGGGCAGCACTCAACCCCACAATCAATAGAGGAGGAGTGTCAGGGTGATAAGAAAGAGTTAAATCACAGCCCATCAATCAACAGAAGGATTATTCTGTCTTCTTTTGCCGTGGCACAAGAAACTAGGTGTCATCATGTTCCACTGAGTTGGCTGCGAGGCAGGTTACTTTGGCAGGTCAGGTCTGATACATTGGTTGCTGAACTAGGAGCTGGGGGAGACACAGCAGTTGAGGATGCTGTAAGCTCATCCTCATAAAATAAAACTCCCATTGAAACAGAAAAAGGAACAGCTACACAAGCGAATCCCAATACATCATATAATAATAATCCTCTGCATTCCATGTAGCGCTTTATCAGATCGTTGAGACGTCCCAAAGCGCTTCACAGGACACGATGTAAAGTGGAGCGACTGTGTGTTTTGTGGGCGAAACGCGGCAGCCAATTGCGCACAGCGGCGTCCCCACAAACAGTCGTGGATTGAGTGACCAAGTTACCAAAAAAAATTGTGGGGAGGGATTATTGACCCCGGAAAGCAATCCGCCAATCGACTAACAACCGGGTTCCCACTTACTGCTGGGTAAACAGAGGCGTGTGGAGTAAGGAAACTTGCCTAAGGTTTCGCCCCCACCCGGGAATCAAATCCAGGTCCTCTCACTTGCGAGGCGAGTGCTCTACAGGACTCCAAACAAAAAGAGGAGCAGCTGTGCAAATGAATCCCGACACATTATATCTGCTGATAGCATAAGTAAAATAATAATCCTTGCAATTGATTACGGCACTTTTCATGTTAGGAGAAGGTCTCGAAGCGCTTCACAGGATTTACTTCCAAGCGCGGTGACTGTGTTGTATAAGCGGACGTTGTAACCACAGTTTTACGCACAGCAATATTCCAAAACAGTCGTAAAGCGAATGATCAATTTTTATCTGTTGGGATTGTCGGCCAGGAACCCGGGAGAGAAACCCTCTCCTCTTTTTGATTTGCGCTGCAGGATTTTTAACGTCCACCCAAACAGGCACAGATAGGGGAGCTCGGTTCTTACATCTCATCCACAGGGCGGCACGAGGCTGATTTAAAACACTTCAATTATATGCGGGGAAGACATGTGCTTCTTGTCAGTTAATTGGACGTGAGATGGAGAATTGGTCAATAGCAATTTCTGTTCTGGATATTCTGCTAACCAGCTCAGAGCTTGGTAACAACCCTTATAATTAGCTCTAACTGGACTGGAAGCTTCGTTCGTTGCTATGGTACAGACCGTTGAAAGAGCAAAAGTAGCAACGTGATGAAGAAGGTGAAGTGTGTCCTTTATTCCTTCGAGTGAGGCGTTAAAACTGTGCTGCCCCTGTCTGTGCCCTGTTCAAGTGGATGTTAAAGATCCCGTGGGGCTACTGAAAAAAAGAAGGGAGTTTCTCTCTCTCCCGGTGTCCTGGCCGACAATCTCCAAGTAAAGTTGGTGACTCACTCTACGGCTGTTTGGAGGATATTGCTGTGTGCAAACTGTCTGCCGCGTTTGGCCCACAGAATACACAGTCAATTCACTTTACAGTATATCCTGTGAAGCACCTTGAGACGTCTCGAAGACGCGATGAGGCGCTAAATCAAATGCAAGCATTATTATTATTATTAGCAGTAATAATAGACTGACTGTATATTTTGTGAGCAAACCGCGGTAATAATAATGATAATAATAATCCTTGCGTTTGGTACGGCGCCTTAACACGTCCTTGAGACGTCCTGAAGCGCTTCACAGGACACATGGTAAAGTGGAATGAAAGTGGGTACTTTGTGGGTGAAAACGCGGCGGCCGATTGCGCACAGCGGCGTCGCACAGACAGCCGCGGATTGAGCGATGGAATTTTTACAGAGGGATTATTGTTGACGTTTCTTAGCAAGTTTCCGTGCAGCGCTTTGAGACGTCTGGCAGACGTGATAAGGCGCTACGTTCGAACACGAGGATCGTTATTGCATCGTAACGTGGGCTGCTTTTCTCGTCGTCTCTTCCTGGGCGAGTGATTTAATGAGTGCGTCGTGTGTGTGTGTGTGTGTGTGTGTGTTTGTGTTTGTTTTTGCTACGCAGGGAGCAGCCTCGCGGCTCAGGACTGGTCCATCCAATGGCCAGTCACGGAGACGGGACGAGAGAACACGCCCGTCAGCCAAGCCGAGCAATTGCCGTGGCCACGGGGCCAGATCTCCAGCCACAAGTTGCCGTCAAAGTCCGGGCAGCCTGACCCCCAGCCTCTGCCTGTGCTGGGCCCCACCTGCACGTACTCTGCGGGGCGGCTGACGGTGGGCGATCCAACCGGCCTGCGTCCCATCCCCATGGAGACCGGCCACAGCTCGCTGCCCCCGTCTCCGCGGCAAAGGCACCCGGCCCGCACCTCCCCACCCGTGGTCAGCGCCATGACCCCACCGTGCACCCCGCCCGCCAGGAGGAGGAACAAGCTGAAGCCCCCCGGCACGCCGCCCCCCAACTCTCGCAAGCTCATCCACCTGATCCCAGGCTTCACCGCCCTGCACAGGAGCAAGTCCCACGAGTTCCAGCTGGGCAACCGAGTGGAGGAGGCACAAACACCAAAGTAGGTGGTCAACAACAGCCTCTGCTCTTCGGAATGTCTTTTCTCTTCCTTGCTTGACGTCTATAAGATACCTAACGACCCTTGCATTTGATACAGCGCCTGATCACGTCTTTTCGAGACGCTGCAAAGGGCTCGAAAGGATGCACTCTGAAGTGAATCGACGGCGTATTTTGTGGGCGAGAAAAACATCTTGTGGTTTCATGGTGCGGGGGGTGGGGTGGCGGGGGCAGGGGTGGTTGGTTGGTTGCAGGTTGGGGTGCGGCAGGCAAGTTGTTCTGAAGTGAACACAGCCTTTGGCAATGGAACGCATTGTTCCTCCCGACGCTTAAAGCCATTTGTCCTTTGGTTTAAGCTGACATGGAATCCAAAAAGTGATATATGTGATTAAATGAAAATTGTTTTGCTTGGAGCTGCATTCTTGATTCCCTTGGACTCCCTCCCTCCCCCACTCCCTTCCTTCCTTGTTCCTTGCCTGTCTCCCTCCCCCACTCTCCAAAATCCTGCTAAGCACTTTGAGACATTTGGGTTTCTGACCATCTGACTGCTTGCTGGGACGCAAGTGAAACCAAACTCCCACAGAGTTTTTTTTCCCCACAGAAAGCTTAGCTTTTTGGTCTGAAAACTTTGGTTTGCTTGAAACTTTGCTTAAGCGCTCTGGGAGGCTACCCCGCTTGAGGGGGCGTTATATGAACTCAGGTTGTTGTTGTTGCTGTTGTTTTTCCCGGTCGGTCCCAGCGCCAATATTAGTGTCCTGATAGGACACAAAGAGGCCTGATTAGCCAACAAGCCTCCGTATGCCAGCCCTTCGCAAAACACCAAGACGCCTATGCCCAAGGGAGCTATCAATTCCTCTATCCCCCCCACCCCCCCACCCCCCCACCGAGAAACGAAGCAGAATAGGTTCCAAACTAACTTCATCCAATTTGTTCCTCACCAGGAACAGTACAGACGGCTAAAAACAAAATCCATAGCACTCCTGAGAGGGAGCATCAAGGTTAATTTACTGCGCAGTCTTATAATCATGGCTGGGTGTCTGTTAGTTCCATGTTGGCTTTCAGACCCAATTAGTTCTCAGATGCTTGACAATAAAAGGCTCAGCTACTTGCTCGGAGGCTAATGGAGTTAGACACACGTCCCTTGTTCTTGTTAGCGGGGAACATGTGGGTGAGTGGAATTTGCCTTCTTTTCCCCGCACGGGAATGATAGGGTGATAGATACTAGGTAAATAAATCACATGGAAAGTTACAACACGGAATCAAACCGCTTGGTCAAATATACCCCCTCACCACCCTCCGAATCCCCTCTTCTCATGCCCCAAGATTTGGTAGGAGGTAGACACCTAAATTGTAAATGGACAACAACAACTTGTATTTATATAGTGCCCCTCATGCAGGTAGCGCTTGACAGTGGCAGAGCACGACACTGAGCCGGTGGTGGGGGCGGGGTGGGGGTAGGGAGTAGGGGCTGACTGTAAGCACAGTCGAAGAGGAAGGTCTTGATGCGCGACCTGAAGACCTGAACCTGAAGGAGGGAGCGAGGTGGAGGGATCGAGGGAGAGCGTTCCAGAGTTTCGGGGGCATAGTGGCTGAAAGCACGGCCGCCGATGGTGGAACAGAGAGGGAGGGGGACAAGCAGGAGGATGGAACCAGTCGAGTGGAGGAAACACACGGGTTGTGGGTTGGGGAGTAAGCAGGTCGGAGAGGTAGAGAGTTGCCAGAATTCCAGCATATGGTTTGGGATACATCGGCATCTTGAACGTCTGGTTAGCTGAAGTGTATCGATGACGAAACTTAAAACGCGATGTAAATGAGGATCTCCGTGCCGAAGGTTCTGGAGAATTATTATTTCAGTGAGAGGAAGTCAGGCTAATGAGTATCTGGGAATTGCCGGGCATGAAGTCATAACGATATTAACGTCTCTGCAAAAAACAATTTATTTCTGAAATTTATCCCAAGGAACCGTTTCCGTACGTTGGTAGCCACCTCCTGGTTCAGCTCTTCTGATTGATGGCTCTAAACCCCTGTCCCCACCCCCCTCACACACACACACACACACACACAAACACTTTCTAACTGCTGTCTGGTAAGCTTTCCCGCTGCTTGTCCAGCTAGGACCACCCTACCCGTGAGGGCTTTGGCTTGCAGGGCAATCAGGAGCTGAGTGGGATAACTCCTTGCCCCTCGTGACTGGTCTGCCCTTCCAGGTCCTGCCGATGGGCCAGGTTGGGCGGTGCTGTCATCAGCCGTGAGGGAACTTGCCTAACGTTTGGCCCTGACTGGGAATCGTAGCCAGGTACTCTCACTTGCGAGGCAAGTGCTCTAACCGCTAAGCTTCCTCTTTGACCGTGCTTTCAGCCACCTCCCACCAGCCCCCAGCTCAGAGGCAGGCTCTTCCACTATTAATACGCTCTGAGAGGGTACCCTGCGTGGAGGGTGCTATATAAGTGCAAGTTGTTGTTGTTGTAAGCTGCCAGGACTCCCATTGTAGCTCTCTTCCCCCACCCCACCCCAGCACTGTGCTGGATCCCCAGCCTGAGCCATGAGCTCCCAAGACCCATCGAGGTTAGAGCTAGAGGAGAAAAGTGAGCCGTACAGCAAGTCAGCCATCCAGCCTGAAGAGCAGTGCGCGATCTGCTGATTGCAACCCCAGGAACCCATTGTAATGTGCGTCTGTTCTGACGTGTTTCCATCAAAATCATGCTCAGTCTTGGTCGAGTATCATTTGAGCATTCATAAGCTAGTCTGCATGGGGCCGGGTGGTCGATTTATCACACAAAGTGGCCAGGGAGATCATTTACCACGTAATGTGATGTGAATCAAGACCTACCTCTTAGACCGCTCTTTCAGGCATCTTTCCCCCCACTATTCACCCTCGGCTCCCCACCACCCGCTTTCCCACAGCTCGGGTCCTAAGCCAATATTGTTCAATTCTTTGGGACAGTCTCCTGACGTGAAAGGTACCGTATAAATATAACTTTGTGTTGTTTTCTATAATAGTACTAATCCTTGCATTTGATATAGCGCTTTTCACGTCTTCTAGACGTCTATTGAATTGACTGTATATTTTGTGGGCGAAACGCAGCAGCCAATTAATTGCGCACAGCAATGCCCCCCAAACAGTCGTGGATTGAAGTGACCAATTTATTATTATTTTTTTCTTGAGGGATTATTTATCAGGTGCGTGGAGTAAGGAAACTTGCCCAAGGTTTTGCCCGGCTGGGAATCGAACCCAAATCTCTCGCTTGCGAGGCGAGTGCTCTAACCACTGAGCTACAGGACTCCCTGTGTTATTCTCTAATAATAATAACAACCATAATAATAAATAATAATAATCCTTGTATTTGATACAGCGTCTTATCACGTCGTCAACACGCCTCAAAGTGCTTCACAGGATATACTGTAATGTAGTTTGGTCTGTGTGTTTATGGGCCAATAAGAGAGTTAATAGGAGAATCAATTGATTGAGCCTACAACGTCATTAATTGATCCAAAAGTCAACTCCCTTTCGCTTGTTAAAAATATGAATTTTGCAGACATCGTGCGGTTTGAAAATAAAAATCCCAGTGTGTTATTTCAAGATACTACGCGTGATTAACCTGGAATATTATTAGATCTGAAAGACCAAGGTTTGCAGTGAGTCATTCAGGCTCTTGTCGTTTAGTCTGAATTTATGTTCAAATGATCTAGAGATAGATTCGCTCTTCCAAACAGACGGGGTAAATAAAAGTGCTCAAGCCCTATGCCACAACAACAACAACAATAGCAAATTACATTTATAGTGTAATTGTTTGCAGGATTTGTACTGTCCTGTAGCTCAGTGGTTAGAGCACTCGCTTTGCAAGCGAGAGACCTGAGTTCAATTCCAGGCAGAGGGCGAAACCTTGGGCAAGTTTCCTTACTCCACACAGAGCCTAATAATAATCCCTCCAAAACCCAAAACAATAACAAATTGGTCATTTTCAATCCACGACTGTTTGTGGGACATTGCTGTGCGCAATTGGCTGCCGCGTTCGCCCACAAATATACAGTCAATTCACTTTACCATCTATTCTGTGAAGCGCTTTGGGAAGTGAAAAGCGCTATATCAAATGCAAGGATTATTATTATTATTATTATTACTGGAACGTGTGGCAACTGGGTGTGTTTTGTAGACAGACGCGACTGCCGATTTGCCTACAGCAACAACAAATTTACATTTATATAACGCTTTTCAAGTCAAGAGGACGTTCCAAGGTGCTGGATATTTAAGGGTTTGCTGGTTAGATTCGAGAGTGGTGGAGAAGATGACCGAAGGTGCAGTCGAAGAGGAAGGTCTTGAGATGTACCTTGAAGGAGATAAGAACAGGTTGAAGTGGAGGGACTCTGGGACGGAACCGATGGCAGCCAATTGTGCACAGCAGTGTCCCACAAACAGTCATGGATTGAGTGACCAAATTATTATTATTTTAATTTATTTTTTTGAAGGTATTATTACCCTCAGAAACCGATCTGACAATTGACTAACCACTAGGTTCCAACTTACTCCTGGGTGAACAGAGGCGTGTGGAGTAAGGAAACTTGCCTAAGGTTTCACCCTGCCCGGGAATCGAACCGGGATCCGGTCACTTCCGAGGCGAGAGCGCTAACCACTAGGTTTCAGGACTCCAAATCTGGCTTCAACGAGGAACAAGTGGGTGATGTTGGGGGGGGGGGCAGTTTGGTAGAGCGGTACTGACGGTGGACAGGTCCTTTGCGTCATCTGTTTCTTTTAATGAAAAGCGTTGTGCCATCAAAAGGCAAAATAAATTGAAGGCATGATTATGAATTTATATCAGTATTTACAAGCCTCCAGTGGCAATGGCTGGATTTCTCTCATTGCCCATGAATATTTGATTTATTGCGCCTGAACGGTTGCTGTAATGGCACTGGCGTCATTAAGCACGGACCCCCGAGGCATTCAAGTGGGTACTATGATGTGAGCGAGAGTGCAGGATAGGTGACTGGGGAAATGGGCTTCTGTGCTCTTATTTACGGCCCTGCGTGATTCTCTGAGCTTTTTCCCTTTCCCACAAAGAGCAAACAGATTGGCCACTGTTGCGGTTTTAATAAAACATTACGCTTCACAAATTCAGCAGAGTAAAGTTCAACTCTCTGTAATCTGCATCGGATCTTCGCAATAATAAATACTACTACTAATAATCCTTGCATTTGATACAGCGACGCTTATCATGTCCATGGACGTGACGTCGCAAAGCGCTTCACGCAATATATTGTAAATTGAATTGACTGTGTATTTTGTGGGCGAAATGAGGCAGCCAATTGCACACAGCAGCGTCTCACAAACAGTCGTGGGTAGAGTGAACACATTTGTTTGGGTGGGGAAGGGATTATTACCTTTTAGGAGCAACCGAGGATTAAAAACACTTTTTTTCACTTTTCTTTCACTTTACTGGCTGTTTTGCAGTCGAGGTTTGGCAATTGCATCTATACAACCTGCCTGTTTAATAAATAATAATACAGTAATAATCCTTACAATTGACGTAGTGCCGTCCACGTCAGGAGGACACCTCAAAGCTCTTTCTAGGGTATATATGTTGCAAAGTGTGTGATTTGTAGGCAAATGAATTGTCAGCCTGGCTCAGTTGGTTGTGCTCTCGCCTCTGAGTCAGAAGATTGTGGGTTCAAGCCCCCCCCCCACCCAGCGACTTTGAGTTCACACTTCAGCGCAGTGCTGGGGTGAGTGCTGTATTCATAGAATCATAGCATTATACAGCACAGAAGGAGGCCATTCGGCCCATCGTGTCTGTGCCGGCTCTTTGAAAAGAGCTACCCTTATCAATACCACTCCCCCGCTCTCTCCCCGTAGCTCTGCAAACTTGTCCTCCCCAAATAATTATCTACTTCTCTCTTAAAAGTTGTTATCGAATCGGCTTCCACAATCCTTTCAGGGAATGCTTTCCAGGGCCCAACAACTCGCTGCGGGAAAAAAAATTCTTCTCACCTCCCCTTCTGTTTCTTTTAACAACTAATGTCAGAGGTGCCATCAAATGAGATGTTAAACTGAGGTCTCGTCTGTCTGTTTAGACATTAAAGATCCCGCGGCGCTATTCGAAAAGCGAAGGGAGTTTCTCTCTCCCAGTGTCCTGGCCAACAATCTCCCAATAAAAACAATTGGTCACTCGCTTCATAGCTGTTTGTGGTTGCATTGCTGTTTGGAAATTGGCCGTCACATTCGCCCTCAAAATGTACATTCACTGCACTTTACTGCAAAATGCAAAGATTATTTATTTAATTCCATCTTTTCACTGTTAAGCGCTCCGAGATGCCGTCCGGCTGTGAAGGGCTCTATATAAATGCAATTTGTTGTTGTTTCAAGTTCCACCGTACTGCTTGGTTAAATATCACCGTAGGAATTCACAGTGTGTGTTGAGCGTTCAGTTCAGTCGAGTGTTCAGTGCCTTGAAACTGTGGTTCTCTTTACACTGGAACATAAAAGGTGATGGTCGTAAAGGTTTTCAAAATTATGAATGGTTTTGACAGGGTGAATAGAGAGAGATTATTTCCACTGACTAGCGTCAGTAACAAGCAAGAAAAAAAAACCTTTCTTTTTTTTTTCCCGAGTCAAAACCTCTCAAAAAATGTTTCCTAGGTAATTGCTGTCAAGCGGTTTTGACAGCCTGACTCTGTCGATGGCAATAGAGAACAATAAGTTATTGTACATTGAGGCTTAACGGGGCGAGGGGGATTTCATTTTTTTCTGTTCAGTCCGGTGTCTGACACACGCGGAAACCCCTCACTTTCCGGGGTTAATAATCCCTCGCCCCCAAACTAATAATAATTTGGTCACTCAACCCCCAACTGTTTGTCGGGACGCTGCTGTGCTCAATCGGCTGCCGCGTTTCGCCCACAGAATATACAGTCGATCCACTTCATAATATATTCTGTGAAGCGCATTGAGACGTCTCAACGACGTGATAAGGCGCTGTATCAAATACGAGCTCATGAGCCGTGAAACGACTGACTTTATCTGAGAGATTGTCGGTCAGGACACTGCGGAGGAATTCCTTTCTCTTTTCGATTTGCCAGCGGAGTGGAGAATCTTTAATGTCCTCCTGAATAGAAGTGTGTGTGGGTTTGTGTGGTTGGGTGTGGGTGTGGGTGTGTGTGTGTGTGGGGGGGTGTTGGTGGGCAGAGGAGAGGAACAGCTTATGAGTCACTCGAATACAAGATGATAACGAGCCTCTTTCGTTAAATGTTTTTATACACCTTGGCAGAAAGTTACAGTGGGCCGCGCAGTCTATTTTAGAAAATCATCAGCCGTCATAGCCAGGGTCTCCCGCTGTGAAGTGCAAGGCTGTGACAACCTTCTATTTGTGTATCTCGAGGAAAGACGGGTGATATCTTTATTTTTTTTTGGCCCGTCGATCACCGCGCAGATGTAACGACCGCAGAGCAAGTTAAACCATCGTTGAATTGTGGCACTTGAATTGTTTCTGAAGCCTGGGACTGTGAACTCATTAGCGCAAGGGGTGGGTGAGGGTGGGGGCTCGTGGGTGGGGGGGGAATGCCAAATTGTCGGAGGAGCTGTCCTTCAGCTGAAACGTTAAACCAAGCTCCCCACACGTACTAGTTCAGCTGGTCGTTAAAGATCCCGTGGCAAATTCAAGTATTATTATTAATAATATTATTATTATTTTCACCATGAATAATGATTATCAATAATAATTTTACCATTAACAATAATCTGATTATTATAATAATAATAAAGTAATAATATTAATATATTATATTATTACGATGCATATATAATATAAGTTTGGATACTCTTAAGCATGGTGATTGGTTTTCGTGTGTGTGTATTTTGCGGGTGAAACGCAGCAGCCAATTGCACACAAGCCAGGTCCAACAAACAGTCGTGGATTTAGTTATTTTTTATTTTTTATGGGGTGGCTGGGGGAGGGATTACTATCTCCGGAAAGCGATCCGCCAGTCCACTAACAGCCGGGTTCCTATTTACTGCTAGGTAAACAGAGGCGTGTGGAGTAAGGTTTCGCTCTGCCCGGGGATCAATTCCGGGTCTTCTCGCTTGCCTTCCCATCACAAAACATTGCCTTCCCATCACAAACCTCATGCAAATCGGCTTTGGCCGACAAAATACACAGTTGCCGCACTTCACAGTCAAACCGCGAGAGGGGCTTTGAGACGTCCTCACGTGAAAGGCTCTGTATCAAATCAAGGCTTATTATTATTGTTGATAGGGATAGTTTTACTGGCGTGAATAGAATGGAAATTGAGAGATTGCTTTTGTTTTATTCCTTCCGCCAGGGCGAAGAAGAAGAACAAGCCTCTGAACCTGAAGATCCACAACAGCGTTGGGAGCTGCGAGAACATCCCTTCCCAGCGTTCCCCGCTGCTCTCCGAACGTTCCCTGCGTTCCTTCTTTGTGGGATACCCCTCGTTCCTTCCCTCGACTCCCCCCATCCACACTGAAGCCAGTTTCTCTGCAAGTAAGTCATGCGTTCGCGCTCCGTTCGCTCTGTTGGATGAGCTGCAGGTCAAGACTTTCGCTCGCCTCCTTTCACATCCATCCCTGTTCCATCATCCACTGAGCTCGCGGTCTAGGCTGATTTTCCAGCACTCCAAGACGCTGCCAGGCATGAAGGGCGTTATATAAATGCAAATTGTCGTTGTTAGACTGAGGTTCCCGCCTGCGTACCACCTTGAAAAAAGAGAAGGGAGTATCTCTCCCGGCGTCCTGCGCTATATCAAATGCAAAGTTATTATTATTATTATTATTAGATGCAAGACTAATTTCCGGTGGAGGTGAAAGGGCAATGTAATTACACCCACTGCGGATCCCACTCTCTGCTTTTTGTAAAAAAAANGCATTGAAATCCAAGCTTGGCTTTGGACAAATCAAGCCTAGTTACACAAACCATCTCACGTACCAGGGTAATGTAAGATTCATTGCGTGTTAGGCATCAAGTTGTTCTTTCGGTGTGTGGCAAAGGTTTTTTTTTCTTTTGCTTCTTGGCAGTTCTGAGTTAACGCAACGGACTTCTTTGCCTGATATGAATATTGCATTGCCTTGCACCACTTGAATTCCAAATGACTCCGCTTAGTGTTTGCGTGGACAGATTCGTAATATTAACAGAAAACCGATGTGATGTTCAAAGTTGAAGAGATTGAAATCGTTCTGGAGGGTGGGGGGGCGGGGTGGGGTGGGGGGGGGGGGTGTGTGGAGTGAGAGGGCTGACCACTCACCCTTTCGGAGACAGATTTACGCGGCTGTAAATCTGCATTCCTAACGGCTTGTAAGTGGCATTTCCGCTCGTTACCCGTTGCCAGCGTATCTCGTTGATCCCCATTCCCCGCCAAGCGATGTGTCAAAAACGTGTCAAGCCGCAAAGAGTAAGTCTGGAGAGAGTGATTGACGGGGTGAAGGCACTGCAAATGGCCAAAAGGAGCGCAAGTGAAATTTTAATTCTCCTTGTCATTCTCTTGGCTGCGTCTTCTCACGTCATAGACATCAGAGAAAGAGCGCTGTGATTTAATTCCTCTGCCGCTGCTTATCCTCGCCTTATAATGCACGCTCATCTCCCGCACATAAGACTCGTAGCAGATAGACGGATAAACAATCAATCCTTCACCCACAAGGGGCTGTTGCCTTTTGTTTTAATGCGTTTGCCGAGAAAAGCTGAGTTTTATTAAGGACTAAAAATCCACTGCAGGCAAACGGCTCTATTCGTTGTTTTTTCCTCAAAAAGACGTGTTATTGGCCCCTTGGTTTTTCTATCCTTTGCTATTATTTTAGCAACGTTGTGTTATTTTTCCAATTTGAGATCTCTATGAGGCAATCACGATCCTAAAGAGCATAGATGGGCTGAATTTGAACAACATGTTTAACATGAGCACGCACTCTTTCTATCAGGAAGCATTAGACTGGAGCTAAGTGTTTACCTGCTAGCGGGAGGAAGCCAACAGTGGTCAATACAAAAGGTCTTACCTTTCTATCTCACCTATCTTCAAGCCTCCCAACTCTATTGCACCGGTCACTTTCTGACACACGGTCACACGGGATCTGTTTGGTTGAAGAAGGCCCTTTGGCCCATTTTATCTCCCATCACATTCCCTGCCATCCTCCCATCACAGTTTCTTAAACAAGTCCCGGTGTCCCGGCTACAACCACCCTTCCCGGAAACCTATTCCGATTGCTAATTACCCTCGGCCAAACATCCCGGCATCTGACCTGCAATTGCCATTTGCGGCTTTTGTTCGAGTGTTCTTGGTGCACCCAAAGGATTAAGCGTTCTGAGACGCTATCCTGCGTGGAGGGCGTTTACATAAGTGCACGTTGTTGTGGTTGTTCCGGGGGTTACGTTTTCAGTCCCCTTTAAACTATAAGCGTTTCAGATTGGAGTAACCCATTGGTTCATCGAACCTGTTAAATCCGTCAAATTTCCCAATCATTTAATAATGGATGCAGCAAATCTTGGTTGTGTATATTTGAGCCCATGAAAAAACACAGTCACCGTACTGCCCAGCAAAACCCTGCGAATCACTTTGAGACGTCTCGACGACTTGAGAAGGCAACGTATCAAATAGAAGGATTGATATTTTTTATTTCATTGATATATTTTATTATTTAGACTGTCTGTGGGACGTTGCTGTGCACAATTGGCTGCCGCGTTTCACCCACAAAATATACATTCGCTTCACTTTTACGGTATATTCTGTGAGGTTCTTGGAGACGTTTCAACGACGTGATAAGGCTCTATGTCAATTGCAAGGATTATTGTTATTATTATTGGGTTGTGCCTCACTTTTGTATCGAGACTTTTTCTTTCCAGCCAGTCGGTCGGAAATACGCTGGTGCTAATCCCTGCTTAGCATTCTCTCCCTCCCCCCTCCCTCCCTCCCTCCCTGCCTCCCTCTCTACCTTTCACGTTCTGAGACTTTAGTTATCACTGGGATTAGCCACCGCAGCCCAAGGAAACTGATGGAGACGCATTTGAACATCTGCTGTGCCCCGAAGGTGCCAAGTGATTTCATTGGGACTAACTGTCCTTGACAACATTCCCCTAACTGTTGGGGACTCCGAACTGCACTGATTTAATTCGAGTCATCATTTACCAGATGTGTTCATTGAAGCGCGCTGTATCATTTCACCGCGCCGTTGTATAAGCCTGATCAGGTAGCTCCCCGACTTCTCTTCCTTTCTCTCGACTTTCTGTCTCGGTGGGGGTGCAGGGATTCTTCCTGTTGACCCCGCACCTCTTTCTCTTTGGTCCTCGCTGGACAAGTGACATCGGTGGCAAGCTGTGCGGTGCAGTTTAGCTCCAGCGGTTACCCTCACCCAACACAAGCTCTGGAGTCCCCAAGCCTTGGCTCTTTCTTCCCAACCTGCGCCTACTACTCCGTGGAAGGAGCAAAGCAGGGTGCGTCCCTCCAGAAATGGGGGAGGAGGGAGAGGGTACACATTCCATTCCAAACCTTATTTTGTTTATGTAACTTGGACGCTGTGAGCCTCTTTTCAATGACGTTTGAAAAACAGCTTCCCACGCAATTACCCTGTACTTGCATGGCAAAGCTCCCTCTGATCATCTCTCAGAATGCGCTCTCTTTCTTTCTCTCTCTCTCTCTCTCTCTCTCTCCCTCTCAGGAGGTTCGCATCCTATTTACCTAATCCCAGAAAGGTATTGGGTGCAGGTTGGCAATAGCCAAGGCTTGGGGACCCCAGACTGTGCGTTGGGGTAACTGATGGAGTCTAACCAGCTGAAGGCCTCATACCCAGTGTCTCGCCAAAGCAGCACCATTCATATCAAGAAAGCGATGGTTGGAAAATCGAGGGAGTGAGCGGGGACAAGGGAGACACTGCGGGCGACAGACGAGACGCAATTCAGAGCTGAGGGCACCCGAAGAGGTTTTTCTTTTTTTAAGAAAAAAAAACATGAAGCCCAGTTAATCTGGATGCATTTCTCGTTCAATAAAGCCACTCCGACATCTTTTCTGAAAGAAAAAAGTACTGCGATTGATGAACTGGAAAATGATTAATCTTTTGGACACAAAGGCTGGTTAGCTCAAGGGACAGATGGCCTTTGGCACAGTTTAAGTTCCCCCCTCAGTGTCACAATTCATTGTTCAAAACTGAAAATCCAAAGCTTAGTTTCAGGTGATTCCTAGGTTGACACCTTAGGGCAAACCGTCAGGTTCAATCTTAATCACTCAACATGCTACTCAAAGGCCATGGTGAACTTATCACAAGGAAATCTTATTCTAGAAAGGAACTTTATCTGCAACCCATCCAGTCGGCTTGTGTTTCTGACGAAACACCATATTGAAATGACATGGAAGGGATTTCCAGCCGGGTCGGGATTCACTCTGTTTCCCTTTACAGGAAATGTTTTTCCTCACCCCCAAAAATATACACTCGATTCACTTTACAGTATATTTCTGTGAATCGCTTTGGGATGTCTAATAATAATAAAAATAATAATCCTTGCATTGGATACAGCGCTTTTCACGTCTTCTAGACATCTCAAAGCGCTTCACAGAATACACTGTAAAGTGAATTGACTGTATATTTTGTGGGCCAAATGCGGCAGCCAATTGCGCACAGCAGCGTCCCACAAACAGTCGTGGATTAAGTGACCAAATTATTATTTTTCTTCATTTTTTCTTGAGGGATTATTATCAGGTGTGTGGAGTGAGGAAGCTTGCCTAAGGTTTCACCCTGCTGGGAATCAAACCCAAGTCTCTCGCTTGCGAGGCGTGTGCTCTAACCACTGAGCTACAGGACTCCACGTGACTCCAGGTCTAGAAGACGTGATGAGGCGCTATATTGAATGCAAGGATTATTATTATTATTGTTTCAGAGTCCAGGATTCGGGCCAATTGTTGGAATTTGGTCTTATTTGAAGCTTGAAATTTGAAGCTTTTTTTTCTGTGGTTTCTCAGGCTGAGAGAGCGATAAACGAAAGAGATAGAGAGAACGAGAGAGAGAAAGAGGGAGACGGGGTAAAGAGTTAACGAGAGAAAAGAAGTGTTAGATGCCTTCAATCCCCCCGCCTCGCCCCTCTCTTTGTTTATCTTTACAATCCCACTTGGAAACCAACCTCTTCGAATGCGCCTATAGTCATCTCGCCCTCCCCCCTTCTCCCTCACTCGGTATCCAACCCCGCTGTGCAGTGCTCCGAGACATTATTCTACGCGAAGGACACCGTACATATGCCAATCGTTCTTATTGCTCTCCTCCTGATGTGAAAATCTCTTTTTAAAAGAAAAAAAAAACCCACAAGGATTATTCTTAATTCAATAAAAACGCTGAAACGTTTCGAGCTGTTAAATGTCCCGTGCAAAATTGTCATGAAAGATTCCCTCCGCTGCCGAAAGACACAAGTGGTCCTTTCAGCCCCGCTGAACAATGAAAGATTGCTTCGTCGAGAAGCCAATGGATTGCTTATTGCCAGACGTGTGACATCTCTGGCTGCCTTCCCCTTCCTTCCCCGTGAAGAACCAGCTTGGCTCTTGCTTGCTATCAGCTCATGATAGCCCAGCGAACTGCTGTGAACATCCCATGTGAGGAATCGGAAGCTTTTGAGTTCACATCATTGGGCTCCAAAGAGCAGCGAGCGGCACGGATTTTAATTGAAATTAATTGCGCTAAACGGGGGGTGGAGAAGAGAAGTGGGGGGGGGGGGCGGTGGGGGGGGGGGGGCGGGGAGGGGGAGTTTCAAACGAGAGAGAAAAATCAGTCTGTCAGATTGTGTGCAGTGCTGAGCTGTCACCCTTTGTCCCTGTCATTTTTTTTACAATTTAAATTATTTGAATCGTTATCGCGGACACTGAGAATTCCCCCCTTGTCCACTCAACGGGCGGGAATGATGTGCCAAGCCACCAATTATAACAGTCACCCTTGCATTTCATACAGCGCCTTATCACGTCGTCGAGACGTCTCAAAGCGCTTCACAGGATATACTGTAAAGTGGATCGACTGTGTATTTTGTGGGCGAAACGCGGCAGCCGATTGCGCACAGCAGCGTCCCCGCAAACAGCTGTGGATTGAGCGAGCAATTTTTTCTTTTGAGGGACTATTACCCTTCCGGAAAGCGATCGGCCAATCGACTGCTAATCAACCGGGTTCCTACTTCCGCTTGGAGTGGGGGAGCGAGCGTGGGCGTCAGAAGGACTCCAGGACGCAGTTCCAGAGAGAGGAAGGCAGCATGTCTGAAAGCCCGACTGAGCTCAGCCGATCTGTTCTGTGAAGAGCTTTGCTGCTTTGAGCGTTGTTGGTGAATCGTGTCGGAATGGAAACGTGCGTTTCTGCGTTCAGAGGGGCACTCAACCCAAGCACGGAACGATATCACAGGGGCCGAAATACTTCAGTGGAAACGCTCCGAGTTCATCCACCCGTTGAGCCTCATCTTCCCCCCGGGTGCTCACTTTAACGGGCTGTGCGTTACCGAGTGCATTGGGAGCCTGTCTGGGGCTTCCAGTGTCAGGTTGGAAATAACTGCAATTACTGCTCGTGGTGGAACTTAATGAAAGAGATGCAGGAATTATCACGCACGGTTTCACTGCTGTTTTCAAACCAATTAATGCCCTAGCACCCACGTCGGCATGCGCAACTCTTAAGACCGATGCTCGGCGGAATCGGCCCAAGCTCATTACTTCGGTGGCCACTTTGTGGAGTCCTGAGGCGTAGTGATTAGAGCGCTTGCCTCGCAAGCGAGACGACTTGGGTTCGATTCCCGGCGGGGAGAAACCTTAGGCGAGTTTCCTTACTCCACTCGCCTCTGTTTACCTGGCAGTCAGTAGGAACCCGGTTGTTAGTCGATTGGCAGATCACTTTCCAGGAGTAATAATCCCTTCAAAATAATATTTTTTTATATAATAATAATAATTATTACTTGTCTTTCTCTCTTTCCTCTCTCTCAGATACGCTATCAGTGCCTCGATGGTCTCCACAGATTCCTCGCAGAGATCTGGGGAACTCAATAAAACACAGGTATGGTACACTGAAGTCATATCACCGATGTGTTTCCCCCACAAAATACAGTCAATTCACTTTACACTACACACTGTGAAGTGCTTTGAGACGTCGCGATGACATGATGAGGCCCTATATCAAATGCAAGGATTATTATTATTATATCCGCCTATGAATTGTCATTCCAGTTAACAGCGAGTGCAGTAAGCAAAAGAGATTCATTTATTATTTTGTTAAGAACTTCTATCGATCCCACGAAAAGTTCGCTGCTGCTAATTTAGTCGAATAAGACTGTTCGAGACGACACAATCCCTGGTGTTAAATTACCCGGTGACAATGCATACACTTTTTAAAACGTTCCTTACTATCAAAAGAAATTGCTTTGAAACAAGCAAAGGTAGATTTAATCCTTTGAATGGAAATTTGCTGCAATATGTCTATGGATGTCTCTGGTGAGTAGGTAAAATGACAACAACAATAAAAAGAGGCCTTTTACTTTAACATGAATCTGTCAGATAACATTACTCATACCTTATTAATCTCTAACCCCTCCCCGCCCCCCTTTTGAGATTGTCACTGGAGTCTTACAACCCGCACGTTAAGTACAAGTCACATAAAGTATGGCTCGATTGTTTTTTTCTGTCAAAATAATTATTTTTCTCTTTGCACGCTCTCTCTGTTCCCATTTAGTGGCTTGTTTATTTACCTTATTAAGCCTGCGCCGTGCGTTTTTTTTTTAATGTGTAATGAAAGATTCATTTCCATCGGGACCGCAATAATATATACTTTGACAATAATCTTCCCCTTGTCTTCTCGCAGATTTTCCACCAAATACTGGATGTCTCAGACATGCACGGTGTGTGGCAAGGGGATGCTATTCGGCTTGAAATGTAAAAACTGCAAGTACGTTGCCAAACCCATGTGGACCAGTGTGTCTGAGGGAAAGGGGAATCATAAAATCAGAAGAATATTGCAACACAGAAGGAGGCCATTCGGCCCATCGTGCCCGCGCTGGCCCTTTGGAATCAATCAGTCTTACTCCCTGCTCTTTCCCCATAACCCCTGCAGTTGCTTCCTTTTCAAGTACTTATCCAATTCCCTTTTGGATAAGTTGAATCTGTTTCCACCAGCCTTTCAGGCAGTGCATTCCAGACCGTAACAACTCTCTGGGTAAAAAAAAAGGCCCCTCATCTCTCTGATTCCTTTGGCAATTATCTTAAATGTATCTCAGTGGTTAGAGCACTCGCTTTGCAAGCGAGAGACCTGAGTTCAATTCCAGGCAGAGGGCGAAACCTTGGGCAAGTTTCCTTACTCCACACAGAGCCTAATAATAATCCTCCAAAACCAAAAAAAACAATAATAAATTGGTCATTTTCAATCTACGACTGTTTGTGGGACATTGCTGTGCGCAATTGGCTGCCGCGTTCGCCCACAAATATACAGTCAATTCACTTTACAGTGTGTTCTGTGAAGCGCTTTGGGACGTCCTCCCGACGTGAAAAGCGCTATATCAAATGCAAGGATTATTATTATTATTAAATCTATATGTCCTGGTTACTGACCACCAGCCACTGAAAACAGTTTCTCCCCATCGACTCTATCAAAAGCCCTCATAATTTTGAACACCTCTATTAAATCTCCCCTTCACCCCCCCCCTGCTTTAAAGAGAACAATCCCAGCTTCTTTAGACTCTCTACATGGCTAAAGTCACTCATCCCTGGTACCATTCTGGGAAATCTCTTGACGGTGGGGCGGGCAGGCAGGTCGGGGGACATGGAGCAGGCCGGGGCCCGCTGAGTGGAGGGAGCGGACAGGTCGGTTTGGAGATCCTGCAGGAATTGTCAGCTTGCAATCTGGAATCACCCGACAAAACGTGCCCATCAAAGTGACAGTGCCTTTGTTATGGAATTTGCTTTGCGCCCTCTTCCCCTTTGACGTACGAGAGCATTAAAAGGTTCGGAGTTATACTTTCTGACAAGTTCCCACAAAGGCATTTGTCTTGAGAAGTGGTGCGTGAAAGCTGGCCCTGAGCAATTTTTTTTTTCTTTTTTTTTTAACGTGAAAGATGTCATTCGACCAATGTATTGTGCGGCACCAGCCTTGCTCAGCCAGTAGCTCTCGCCTCTGAGTCAGAAGATAGTCGGTTCAAGCCCCCACCCCCGTCAGGACTTGCAACTCATCCAGTCTAAGCTGTAAGAGGTGCCGTACTTCGGATGAGACGTTAAATCAAGGTCCCGTCTGCTTGTCCCGGTGGACGTTAAAAGATCACGTGGCTCTATTCGAACAGGCCTGATCATCTTTGATGTTTTTCTTTCCTCGCCAGATTGAAGTGCCATAACAAATGCACAAAAGAAGCACCACCTTGTCATTTACTCATCATCCACCGTGGAGGTAAGGCTCCCACCACAACCCGCACCCCCCCCCAACACAAAGAAAAAACATGATCCTTTTACCCTGAGAGGCGTCGATCCTTCAGCCCGAGATTTTTGTTTGGTTTCAGCCGCGAAAATGCGAAAATGCCGACAATATCTACGTCTGACACTCGTTGAAAGACTCATAAGATCCGTGAACACAAACTCGCATTTAAACTGCGCGTTTCTCCCACGAAATACACGGTCAATTCACTTGCAGTATATTCCACGAAGCGCTTTGAGACGTCTCGAAGACATGATGAGGCGCTGTACTATATCAAGCGCGAGGATTATTATTAATTCACGTCGGGAGGATGCCCCAAGACACTGTACAATGAAATCAAACATAAGCAAGTGTACCCCTGTCGTTTATCCCCCTTTAGATATCCGTATTCCATAGGCAGATGAAGATAATATTCCTTCTTCTGTTAATGGAGCTGAACTTATTCCCCGACTGCTTGTCAATTAGGCCATTAATTGCAGAATAAAGCGCAAAGTCACACCCGGGTAATAACAGCCCTTCTCTCCTCACTCGTTCCCCTCTCTCTGTCTCTCTGTCTGTGTGGTTTTTCAGCAAGACTTGTGCGGACAGAGTCGGTGCCCTGCGATATTAACAACCCACTTAAGAAGCCGCCCAGGTACACGGATCTACACTCCAGCCAAACTCTGCCCAAGACCAACAAAATTAACAAGGTAAGTTCACCGCGCTTGCCTTCCTTACACTTGTAAATGTGCGGTTGTGGAACGTCCACTGGTCAGGTTACACTTACGGTGAGACTTGATGGTCGAGAAGCTAAATCTTCTAAATATTAATATCAATCCTAAAATATTTCGCCCACAAAATACGCAGTTATTTCACTTCACAGGATGTTCTGTGAAGCGCTTTGAGACGTCTCAACGACGTGATGAGGAGCCGTATCAAACGCAAGGATGAACCTTAGTGCTATTAAATCTCATGTGCAGCGCCTATTTTAATAATCCCTCCCGATCCCCATTTAACCTGATCCCAGTTTTGCGATGATCCTGGTTTTACTCTTATCCCAAATTTATCCTGATCTCTATTCTACCTTAATCCCACAGAAACTTACAGCAGCCCATTGTACCTGCGCCGGCTCTTTTAAAAGAGCAATTCCTTTCATTCCCATTTACCTGCCATTTCTCTCCCTGTAGAACACCCCTTGCCACCTACACCCCTTTAGCTATCCATATTCCCTTTCCCTTTCGACAGCAAGTTTGATCCGCTGAAAGACTGCGTGTTTTTCTGTACCAGGCCAGACTTTTCGACAAGTTCTGACTGTAATCTCCTCCAGCCTTGCAATTAGCCAGCGCACCTCCTTAATGGATAAATTACTGGTCACTTTCACTAGCAGATGATGGAGCCTTTGTTTACATCCATTGAGATGGTTGGCACATTAGCACAGGGTGCCTGCCTGCTATTATAACAAGCTGCTGGTTACACAGCAGATGGTTAGCATCTCAACGAGGGGAAAACACTGACAGAGACCGGCATCAAATTGCCCTAATGCTTTCCAGAAATGAGTGGGTTGTTAAGTATAGGTTATTGAGCAAATGAAGGCTTCCTGCTGAAATGATCAGTGCAGTGCATCAATTCGGTGCCTGCGGTTAAATGCCTTCCAAATATTGTAACAATAATAATCACCGTAATAGCGATGATGATAACCCTCGCATTTGACATCGCGCCTTTGACGTCGGGAGGATGACTCGAAGCCCTTCGCAGGACTTACGGTGAAGTGTAGCGACCGACGACACTTCGCGGTGTGTCCTGCAAGCTAATGAGACAGTTTGTGCACAGCGGTTTCCGGCAAAAAAAAGACATGCTCTGCACGAACAATTTTATCTATGATTGTCGGCCACGATGCCGGGAGTGTGTGGTGTGGTGGGTGGGGGGAGAGAGATGAATTCTCTTCTCTTTTTCTCGAGGAGATCTTTAACGTCCACCTGAACAGGCACAGGCGGGACCTCGAGTTAACGTCTCACCTGAAGGACAACACCTCTTAACAATGCAGAGCTCCCACTCACCCCGAGCCCTGCCACCCGAGTATCAGTGTGTGCATTCAAGTCTGACAACCTTCTAACTCAGAGGAAAAAGTGTGCTACCACTGAACCAGGCTGCTAATAAATAATAATCCCCGCCCCACCCCCCAAATCATTCACTTCACACCTGTTTGCCGGAACGCTGCTGTGTGCATATTGGCTGCTGTGTTCGTCTACACAATACTCAGTCGCAACACGTTACAGTAAATGCTGTGAAGCACTTTGCGATGTTCCGATAGTGTGAAAAGGCGCTGCATCGAACGCAAGATTTTCCTTCCTTCTGACAGGAGATTTTTTTTTGGGGGGGGGGGGGGAGGGAGTGGGGGTGGAAACTCGCCATTTGCCTAACTCGCTGCTCCTGATAACTCGTCGGTGAGCACTTTCCCTTCAGAGTGACTTATTAACCGTAACAATTAGCAGAAAACCCTTTCTCATAATTCTTTCTCTTAAAGCACAATGGAGGCGCTGCCTTAGTAATGAATTTGTTTGCTATAATTACCCTCAATAGCCCAGGACAATATTCTGTGTTTTAGACGTTATTAAGGTTTAATCAACAGAATCCAGCAATTGGATTAGACTTAAACCAACTGATAATGTGCTGTGTTTAAGAACAGAAGTCCACATTTTAATTAAATCTTTTAGGTTCTTCCAGGGAAAATATTTACGCAGGTTTTGTGCATGCCATGCGGATCTAATTAACAGAGGATAGGTGTCAGCTTGGCTCAGAGGGGAGACTTCCTCCCCACGTGACACTTACCGTATTAAATGCAAAGATTTATAATCTTTATAAATTATAATCTCTGCTTTATAATCAACAGCAACAATATAGTGCCCTTCAGGCCGGGCAGCGTCTCAGAGCCCTTAAACAATGCGAGTGTTCCCTCGGTGCTCTTGCCCCTGAGTCAGAAAGTTGGGGGTTCAAGCCTACACGTTGGGGCTTTTGATCTCTTAGTCCAGGCTGACACTCCATTCCAGTGAAATTGTAACGCAGAGGTTTAGAGCACTCGCCTCGCATGCTAGAGGACCTGGGTTCGATTCCCAGGCGAGGTGAGTTTCCTCACTCCACGCACCTCTCTCTTTACCCAGCAGTTAGTAAGAACCCGATTGCTAGTAGATTGGCAGATCACTTTCTGGGGATAATAATCCCTTAAAAAAGAATAATAATAATTTGGTCACTCAATCCACCACTGTTCGTGGGGCACTGCTGTGCGCAATTGGCTGCCACGTTTCACCCACAAACTTCACAGTCAATTCACTTTACAGTATATTCTGTGAAGCGCTTTGAGACGTCTCAAAGACGTGAAAAGGCGCTACGGCAAATGCAAGGATTATTATTATTACTGTGGGGTCAGGGGGCTTTCTTCATTCAAACTGATCTTGCGATCGCTCAGTGAGTTTTATTCTGTGTCCCGCTCTCTCTTGCTCCCTCGCTCTCCAGTGGTTGAGGAACCCTGCTGTCACAGCTGGAGGGCTTGATCTGCAGTCACTCCACTTTACAGTATGTTCTGTGAAGCGCTTTGAGATGTCTTGGTGATGTGATTAGGCGCTGTGCCAAATACAAGGATGATTATTATCATTATTGAACGGGATGCGGTGGGGGTGGGTTGGGATAAGGTGGAGCCGTGGGATTGAGCGGATCGGGCTGCTCAGAGAATCATCGGGTCTCCTACTAACGCTGTGTATTTTTTAATACCACCCGATGACTTTACCATAGGTTGAGTTTCCGACCTCCCTCTGTCTTTCGCAGGATCACATCCCCGTGCCCTACCAGCCGGACTCCAGCAGCAACCCGTCGTCCACCACCTCCTCAACACCCTCCTCGCCAGCTCCTCCGCTGCCTCCCAGCGCCCCACCCCAGTCACCTCTTCACCCCTCGCCCCAGTGCACCCGGCAACAGAAACAATTCAACCTACCAGGTACCATCTCTCACACGCTCCGCCAAACCGCGATTTCGAGTAGAAATTACCCCGGTTAATGTGGTCTGAGACGGGAAAGGTGTACGTGAGATGGTGTGTCGGCCTGGCTCAGCAACAACAACAACAACAACAACAAAATTACATTTGTAAAGCGCCTTTCACGTCGGGAGGACGTCCCAAGGCGCTGGACAGACAGAGTTTCGGACCCGAGCTGAGGGTCCGGGTGGGGGAGGGCAGGGGGGGGGAAGCAGAGAGATCGAAAGCACGGTCGAAGAGGAGGGTCTTGAGGTGGGTCTTGAAGGTGGCGAGGGAGGGAGCGAGACGGAGGGGCTGCGGGATGGAGTTCCAGAAGGTAGGGGGCAGAGTGGTGGAAGTGGGGCGAGCAAGGCGGGGGATGTGAAGCAGGCCAGATCCCGCTGAGCGGAGGGAGTGAACAGGATGGTTAGGGGATTAGGAGGTGGGAGAGGTAGGGCTCAGTGGGAAAGCGCTCTCACCTCTTGAGTCAGAAGGTTGTGGGTTCAAATCCACCATCGAAACTTGGAATCACATAGTCCAGGCTGACCCTCCGATGCAGTGCTAGGGTTGTGTGTTGCATTGTCGGAGGTGCCGTCCTTCGGATGAGACGTTAAACCCGATTGTGAGACATTAAACCCTGTTCAGGTGGACGTTCAAGATCCCGCGGCGCTATTTGAAGGGAGTTTCTCTCTCCCAGTGTCCTGGCCAACAATCCCCCAAATAAAATTGGTCACTCAATCCATGACTGTTTGTGGGACGCTGCTGTGCGCAACTGGCTGCCGCGTTTCACCCACAACATACACAGCCATTTCACTTTACATTATATCCTGTGAAGCACTTTGAGATGTCCTGATGACGTGATAAGGCATTATATCAAATGCAAGGATTATTATTATTATTATTATAATACAGCCCCTTTTCATGGTGCTTTTTTTCTTTTTTTGTTCCGCTATAAAAATCATTTTTTTAAAAAAAAGCACAACAAAAGAGCCTCTTATTTCAAAGTGGTTGTGATTTCTTTAAGGCTAGCCTTCCTTGGATCAGCAACGATTAGTTATAATAATCTCCCACTTTGCGATAATATTCCCCAATTCAGCTGTGATTATTCTTTTTCTCCCCTCTCTCCTGTGGTGGATTGTCATCAGTTCGTAGAATGTTAATACGTGCGTCAAGACCCGGCTCTGCTTCGCGATGCATTTCAACGACATGATTGTGTGTCAGCCTGGCTCAGTTGTTGACCTCTTCTCTCGGAGTCAGAAGCTTGTTGGTTCAAGCCCCACGTCGGAGCTTGGAATCCCATAGTCTAAAACGATGCTCCAATGCAGCCCCGGCTGCCGCGTTTCGCCCACAAAATATACAGTCAATCCACTTTACAGTATGTTCTGTGAAGCGCTTTGAGACGTCTCGAAGACGCGATAAGGCGCTGTATCAAATGCGAGGATTATGATTATTGTTATTATTATTATTATCGGTGCAAGTAATGCTGCTGACAAAACGGACACCGGTGTTTGCATGGTGACAAAAGGCACGTGTGGGTGTCCTCGAAATTAAAGCCTGAGTGAAATCAGGAATAGATTACAGTCATTTTCACATCGATTGAGGCTAAACTTGCTGTAAAGTACAGCAATCAAACTCTTCACCTAGTCAATATTTCACATGGATCTAAGTAGATGTGGTCGAAGTGATAGCTTGTTAAGTGTTGGTTGAAGACAGATAGAGAGGGGGAGGGAAGGAGTGTAAGATGGAGTGAGTTGGGGGTGAGAGTGAGGGGTTGCGGGAAATTGTTCCAGAGGGTGAAGGAGGGAGGAACAGTGGCTTAAAATCTCAGTCTTGAGGCAAATTTGTACCTATTGCTGCTGAGAATTAACGAAAAAAATAATAATGCTTGCACTTGACACAGCGCCTTTCGTGTTGGGAAGACGTCTCAAAATTGATACTGTGACGTGTAGTGGCTGTGTATTTTGTACGCGAACGCAGCAGCCAAATTTGTACACTGCAACGTCCCACAAACATCCAGGGAATTGTTGGCCAGAACACCGGGAGATCTTGAACGTCGCCTGAGCAGACGTAGACGGGACCTCGGTTTAAGGTCTCATCCCAAGGATCTTGCAATACTCTGTCGAAGCATCAAGGGAGGCTGCGTGGGCTCCAAGTCCAAAACCAGCTCCCGAGGGCAACTGCGGAAACACCCGTGGCCACTGCACTTTACGGTGAAAATCATGGGTTCTCTTTGAGGCGTCAGCCATTTGGGCAAGTGAAAGGCGCGACATACAAATGTACAGTAATTTGATGTTGTCGATGTTGTTGAAATGCAAGTAATTGTCACTTGTCGCTCGTTGCTTCTAGTCGTGCGCCGTCCAGCAGAGAGAGCTGGGTTTAGTGGAGGGAATGGGGAAAGAGCGGGGGAGCGGGACTGATTGGGTTGCTCTTCCAAAGCACAGGCACAGGCACGATGGGCCGAATGGCCTCCTTCTGTGCTGTAATATTCTGTGATTCTATGGTTACGGGAGCGACGGCAGAATCTGTGAACAACTTGGGGGGAGTGGAGGTTCTCAGCAAAGTTCCCGTAGAGGGGTTGACAGGGGTTGACTTGACAGTTGGTCTCGTGCGTTGGTGTTTTACTTGGGCCTGATTGCTTTGCTTACAGTTCTGCCTTTTCTCTGTTGCAAGCTTCCCAATATTTCAAATACAAGCAGCAATTCATCTTCCCAGGTAAGCCATCTTCCCTCCGTCCTCGTCTTTTTTTTGTGGGGGTGATCAGCCGGGCGTCTGACACGTACGTCAACCCATCACCGTTGCTTAAGAGTCTCCAAACCCAACTGAGAATTCCATGCGTCCCAACTACACTTGGAAATTCCAGCGATAGATCGTTGGAATGCAATGTGCCCTCTTTCTCTCTCTCTCTCTCTCGCTCGCTCTCCCTGGAGGGACGGATCCTGCTCACCTAATTCCGGAAAGTATTAGGCGCAGGTTGGCAAGAGCCAAGGCTTGTGGGGTTGTGGGGTGGGGGGTAACTGCTGGAGTCTTAACCAGCTAAAACCCTGCGAGGCTTGCCATTGATATCTGTCCTTTCCGATGAAGCCATCTCTTTGACATCTTGTTAACGTCAAAACAAAATCGCTGCACGTCCTTTAGACGCACTTTCTCACCCCTCTCTCTCTCTCTCTCTCTCTCTCTCTCGTTTTTTTTTGGCCCTTTAAATTATTAACATTTGGGTTTCTTCAATGAATTGAGTCATGTGCGTGTCAATCGAATTAGGGGCAAGAGGACCCTTTGATAAATATTTGACTAGCAGATATGAATAAATTCATACCGTTTCTATTTGATTTCATCGAGATTCAGGCACCTATTTTTAATTAGCGTGTTCGCTTTGAGACCCTGGACTGCGCTGAGTGCCTTTATTTGATGTATGATTAATGATTACCTTTTTTTTTAATTGTCAGAATTGTAATCTCTCTGGTTTACCCTCTCGCCTCTCTCTCTTTCTCTCTCTCTCTCTCTCTCTTTCTGTCTCTCTCTCACACTCTCTCTCTCTGTTTGTTCCCAAGACGTCGCACCTGAGACACAGAACCGTACTCCACAAGTCATCCTGCACCCCGTCAACTCCGAACCTGTGTAAGAGGTTTTGCTTTCATCCGGGCCTGGGTTTCAGTCAACCCCTCCGAAAACGTATCGGCAAGTGTGGGTCATCCTGGCTCAGTGGCCGCGCTCTCGCCTCTGAGTCAGAAGGTCGTGGGTTCAAGCCCCACGTCGGAACTTGGAATCACATAGTCTAAGCTGACGCTCCAATGCAGCGCTGGTGGGGGTGGGAGAGGGGCGTTGAATTGTCGGTGGTGTCGTCTTCCGGATAAGATGTTAAACCGAGGTCCTGTTCAGGTGGACGTTAAAGATCCCACGGCGCTATTCGAAAAGAGAAGTGGGTTTCTGGCCTGGCCAATAACCCCCCCCACCCCCCCACCCCCAAATAAAATTGATCACTCGCTCTTCGTGGCTGTTTGCGGGACGTTGCTGTGCGCAAATTGTGCCGCCGCGTTTGCCTGCACATACACAGTCACTCCACTTCTTGGTAAAATCCCTGTGAAGCGCTTTGAGACATCGGGTAGTGATGAGACGAGATGGAACTTCACCGACTTACAGTAAGTTATCATTAACAGTAAGGGTCCGAGTTCACTATATCAAATGTAAGAATTATTCAAATTTATTATTATTATTCACTGTTAAGTGTTTATAGTTTCGGGCAGATTTTAAACTACTGAGTTGAGTTATAACTTTGCAACAGACATTCTATTATTTATACCACTTGTCCTCTGGTTTGTACATATCTCCAATACAGATGAAATAATGCCAGGCGTAATTCAATTGAGTGCTACAGAATGAAATCATAACTCCACAAGAGGAAAGCCTAAGTGGTTTACAAATGTCAGCAGAACCATGAGATCGAATTAGTGGTTTAACCTCCCATTTACGCTTATAATATTAGCCCCTAGTTTATTTTACGAGCATGTGTTAATTGTGACAGAATAGTTTGAAGGTATAACCATCTCCTGTTTCATAACCATACGTTAGTAATATCTTTTTTCAGCAGCAGATGAACAGGAAATGCCCAATAATTGATATTTACACACAGAAACATACTCAAACACGAACGCAAAACACACAACGAACATTTGGTATGGTTAATACTTTTTCCCCTGACTTCCCTCTATTATCTTCAGTTCCTTCTCCACCTTCTTTCCTTTCCCTCCTGGATTTATATCATGATCAATTGATTCTAGAAGTACAACAGTCTGCAAATACAATCAGCTCTATTTGCCCTTTTAAAGCTTTTCGGCCTTTTCCCCTCTACGTCCTTAACGCCACACGACTGCACCCTTTTAAAGAGCAAACCCTCCAGCCAATAGTTTTGTAGAATAATAATAATCCTTGCATTTGATATAGCGCCTTAGCACGACATTGAGACCTCTCGAAGCGCTTCACAGAATACACTGCAAAGTGGATTGACTGTGTATTTTGTGGGCAAAACGCAGCAGCGAATTGCACACAGCAGCGTCCCACAAACAGTCGTGGATTGAGTGACCAATTTAGTATTTTTTTGGAGGGATTATTACCCCGGGAAAGCGATCCTCCAATCGACTAACAACCGGGTTCCTACTTACTGCAAGGTAATCAGAGGCGTGTGGAGTAAGGAAACACGCCTGAAGTTTCGCCCCGCCCAGGAAATGAATTTGAGATGACTATTAAAGATTCTCACCTCGTTCAAGATCCGTCTCGAGACCTTCTTCTTCGATCGCTCTTTCGGTCCATCTTTCCCTCCCACCTGCACCCCAACACTCCCTCTGGGCTCCCGCCCCCAGCTCGGGCGACAAGCCAGGATTGTGTAAGCGCTGTGTAAATGTAAATTTGTGTTGTGTTGTACCAAAGCTACTGTGACTGAGGCGCTGGTGTTTGAGGGGCCTTTTCTGCTCTACGCACAAGTCTGACTAAAGCACTAACTCTTCTTCCAGCAGTGAAGGAGCTCCATCACTTCGAGTGGAAGTCAATGAGCCCTTGTCAGAGGTACGTTGGAAATGACTGCGTTCAATAAGTCTTGAGAACGCTTTGCTGGTATCAGGGCATCAGCCTGGCTCAGTGGGTTCACTCCCACCTCCGAGTCAGAAGGTTGTGAGTTCAAACCCCTTGCTGGGATTTTGAGCTCACGCGGTCTTAGGCTGAGACTTGTGGGCAGCGCTGCAGTTGTTGGAGGTGGCGTCCTTTGGATGAGACCTTAAGCTCAGGTTTGTGCTTTGTTCAGGCCGATCCCACGGCATTATTCGAAAAGAGAAGAGAGTTTCTGTCTCCCGGGGTCCTGGCCGACAATCCCTCGGATAAAATTCAGTTCACTTTCTTGACAGTTTTTCATGGGACATTGCTGTGCGCTACTTGGCTGCTGCGTTGAATACACAGTCACTTCACCTGGTAGTAAATCGAAACATAGAAACAGGAGGAGGCCATTCAGACCGCCGAGCCTGTTCCGCCATCCTATAAGATCACGGCTGATCTGTATCTCAAGTCCAATACCTGCCTTTGCCCCATATCCCTTAATAGCCTGACCTAACAAATATCTATCCACCTCAGTCTTGAAAGATGGGAATGAATCCAGCACCCAGTCTTTTTGGGGGAGAGATTTCTAGATTTTCCCAATCCTTTGGGTGAAAAACTGCCTCTTAATTTCACTCCTAAATGGCCTAGCTCTAATTTTAAGATGATGCCCCCCTTGTTCTGGTTTCACCCACCAGAGGAAATAGTTTCCGTGAAGCGCTTTGAGACAACTCGATGACGTGACAACCAGAGGGAGAATGAAACTCATCTGTACGTTTTTTCAAAGAGCTTTTTATTTGCGAATCAATGTCAGTGGAACTGATAAAGATGAGTGTTCGGGCAGGGATTAGAACGAGTTTAATTGCTCCTTTAGGAATTACTCGATCGATCTGAGCCTCAGACTGAGAGTTCCACGTATGCACGTCACCCACCTATGGACAATTCGCCCACAAAATATACAGTCAATTCACTTTACAGTATATCCTGTGAAGGGCTTTGAGACGTCTCAAAGACACGATACTGCGCTATATCAAATGCAAGGATTATTAGTATTATTATTATTATTTCCCTGTGTCTGGAAGAATGCACACTCTGTCCCTGCTTACCTAATTCCAGAGGTCAGTAGAGTACTTGCGAAAAAGTCTTAGGGACCTCAGTGTATGGGGGAGGTAACTGCTGGAGTTTTAACCTTGCCATTGAGAGTACTGACTGGTAAACTTCACCATGCTTGTCTGGCGAGAACCACCCTATCCGTTAGGGCTTTGTCATTTGTTTTCCTGCACAACTTCCACCCACGACGTTGACGGCATTGCAAGCCGAAAGGTCGCTCGCTCGGGCTATTATTGTAATCCAGCGTTAACAAGACTTGCAGTATTTTATCTGCTTCCCACAATGGTGATTTCCTCCTCTTTCAGCCCTCCTTTTGAATTAACAGGAAAGTCTGTTTTTTTTAAAAAGAAATGAATGGAGGCTAAACTATTCTGCGCTGTCAAGATAAACTGTTACAATCACTAGCAAAACACGCTGCACTTAAAACTCATTGGGTGTCAATAAGAAAGTTAGCACACAATATCAGTACTGGAAATCCGTTGATAATAATAATAATAATAATAATAATAATAATAATAATAATAATCCTTGTATTTGATATAGAGCCTCTCAGGTCAGGAAGACGTCTCAAAGCGCTTCACAGGATTTCACGGTATAGTGTAGTGACTGTGTGCTTTGTAGGCAGACGCGACAGCCAATTTGCGCAATATGCCCTCGCATTTCTCCGGAATTAGGTACACAAGGGTGGGTCCCTAGAGAGAGAGAGAGAGAGGGAGACAGAGAGAGAGCATAACATTCCAGATGCAGGGAAATTTCCGTGCGTAGGTGGGCGTACATATGTAGAAATCCTCAGTCTGGTTTGAACACTCTTAACTGTTCCCCGGGGTGATGGGTTTCCGCACGGGTCAGGCGCTCAGCTGACGAGAAACAACGTTGTCAAGAAGTTAGCCTTTCACAAGTACGTCGCCAGAATAGAGAAAAGTCCTCAAGGTGTGAAAACCTTAAGAAATTCCGGATTTTGGTGCCCGTGAATATTTTCGAAAGTGCAATAAATACACCGAACTTCTCTGGTCTTGGAAAAGTTGAGTGCAGTTAGTGGGTAAAGGGAGGATTTCAGACACAGCCGAAGAGGTGTCTCGATCTCCAGCCTTTGGTGAGACTAAAGATGAAATCAATTTCTCAAGACCCTCTTCTTCGACTGTGCCTACGGTTACGCTCCTACCCCTACACTCCTCGCCCTGCACCAGCTCGTGTGCGGATCCCTGACTGACCAGCGCTTTGGGACGTCTTCCAGACGCTGCGTAAATGTAATTTGTTGTTGCTTTATGTAATAACCTCCTAGACTTAACTACCCACACACACACACACACACACACACCAGGGGCAAATGAGGCTCCAATGCTCATTTGCGGAGTGTTTCTCAATAATGTCCAAGAGCTTGGGGGAAGCTCCACAGGTCAACATCTGTCCTGGGTCAACATCTGTTCTGATAGCAGATGCCGCTTGGTACAAACATATCCTAAGACGCAGCACTATTAGCAGACAGACCAAAAGGTCACGTCCTACCTCAGGTTGGTTGATCTCAGTCGGGTTTTTTCGGGTGCCCAGCCCTGGAAGCACAATTTGCGCACGGCAATGTCCCACAAACAGTCACAGAGTTGAGTGACGGATGTTATCTGGGGGGGATTGTCGGCCAGTACACCGGGAGAGAGAGAATACTCTTTTTCGAATAGCGCGGCGGGATGTTTAACGTCTACCCGTCCAGGAGGTTGGGACCTTCGGTCTAACGTCTCACCCGAAGGAGGTGAAACGTTTAATTTTATGAAAAGATCAATAATTATTGGGGGAAAAAAAGAAGCGGCTTTCAAATAAGTAACGCAAATATTTTGCGTTTCAATGTAAGTCATTATCATTACTGATATTTAACAACAATCATCATTATTTCACCCACAAAATACACAGTCACTTCACTTTACAGTATATTCTGTGAAATACTTTGAGACGCCGCGACGACATGATAAGGCACTGTTTGAATATCAAATGCGAGGATTATTATTTATTTGGAGAGCGGCGGAGCAGTGGTTGAAGCAGAAAGAGTTTAAGAGAAAACACGATGCACAGACAGAGGGCGAAGGGAATGGAGGTGGGGGAGGGGGGGGAGTTATAATAATTATTCTGATTAATATTATTGATTTTAATATCAGTTAGCCACCGCGTGGACGAGCCTGTAACCTGCGTGGTGTTGCTTTCTCAGAACGAAGGCCCCAACGACGAGGCCTACAGATCGGATGGCTCGGAGGACGACTTCGAGGAGATGAACCTCTCGCTCCTGTCGGCCCGGAACTTTCCGCGGAAGGCCAGCCAGACCAGCATCTTCCTGCAGGAGTGGGACATCCCCTTCGAGCAGCTGGAGATCGGAGAGCTGATCGGCAAGGGGCGCTTCGGCAAAGTCTACCACGGGCGCTGGCACGGGGAGGTGGCCATCCGCCTGATCGACATCGAGCGCGACAACGAAGACCACCTCAAGCTCTTCAAGAGGGAAGTCATGGCCTACAGACAGACCCGTCACGAGAACGTAGTGCTCTTCATGGGAGCCTGCATGAGCCCTCCTCACTTAGCCATCATCACCAGGTGAGTTAAAAACCGAAACCGCTGGAAACACGACTGGCAGCATCTATTGGAGAGAGGAGACTGATGCCGTCTGACCTGCTGGGTGTTCCCAGCGACTTCTGGTTTTATTTTCGGATATCCACCATCTGCGGTATTTTGCCTTTTGATCACCAGGTGAGTCTTAGCTCCATCCAGTTTCTGTCTCCGCTAGATAAAGGAAAAAGCCCTCTCACGTACCCCCGAGGCTGTGTGTTTAAGCCCCCCCCCGCCCACAACAACAACAATAAAATTACATTTATAGAGCGCCTTTCACGTCGGGAGGACGTCCCAAAGTGCTGAACAGTCAGGTGTCGGGGCCCGAGCATGGGGGAGGGGTGGTGTAGGGGTGAGGGAAGGTAGAGAGGTGGGAGGGAGACCAAAGGTACAGTCGAAGAGAAGGGTCTTGCGACCGGCCTTGAAGGAGGTGAGGGAGGAAGCGAGGCGAAGGGACCGTGGGATGGAATTCCAGAAGGTGGGGGCAGAGAGGTTGAAAGCCCGGCCACCGATGGTAGGGCGGGTCGGGCGGGAGACATGGAGCAGGCCAGAGCATGATGAACGGAGGGAGCGGGCAGGTTGGTAGGGAGTCAGCAGGTCAGAGAGGTCAGAGGGGACAAGGCCATGGATGGCCTTAAAGGTGAGGACGAGGATCTTGAACTCGATCCTCTGGGGGATGGGGAGCCAGTGGAGTCGGGCGAGGGTGGGAGTGGTGGGGTCACGGAGCCTGGTGCGCGAGAGTACACGAGCTGCAGAGATTTGGATGATCTGCAGCTCGTGAAGGGAAGAGTTGGGAAGGCCGACGAGGAGGGAGTTCCCGTAATCGAGCCTTGATGTGATGAGTGCGTGGGTGAGGGTTTGGGCAGCCTGAGGGGTGAGGCGGTGATGGAGTCTGGCAATGTTGCGGAGGTGTTGGTAGGCAGTGCCGGTCATGGCGCAGATATGGGGGAGAAAGGACAGTTCAGGGTCAAACAAGACACCCAGGTTCCTGACCGGCTTAGTGAGGTTGAGTGTGCAGCCGTGGAGGCTGATGCTGCCAACTCCTGAGGTGCGGGGGGGGGGCAGTTCCTCATTGACGGAGATGCCTGCGAATAACTCTCATAGCGTAGTGGTTAGAGCGCTCGCTCGCAAGCGAGAGGACCCGGGTTTGATTCCCGGGCAGGGCCAAACCTTAGGCAAGTTCCCTTGCTCCACACCCCTCTGGTTACCTAGCATTATATATTATTATAATAATAAAGGAAGAGGGACTTCTTATCCTCCTTAGGTTCAAGCCCCCCCCCCCACAAGTGAGTGACCAATTTTATTTGGCAATTTGTTGGCCAGGAGACCGGGAGAGAGAAACTCTTCTCCTCTCTTTTTGAATAGCGCCATAGGATGTTTTAACATCCAGGTGGTTTAATGTCTCATCTGAAGAAAGCCACTTCCGACAATACATTGCCCCCCCACCCCCCCACTAACCCACCCCCCAATACTGCATTCAAGCGTCAACTTATTCTTTGACTCCAGCCTCGACGTAGGGGCTTGAACGCACAACCTTCTGGCTCGGAGGAGAGATTTGCTGCCGACGGAACCAGGCTGACAATTGACTGCGTCGAGGGGAGAGAGAGAAAAAAAAAATTCAGTAACGTGCTTCCTGGTGAAAAACACTGGGAAAAAAACACAGCTACGCCTGCACTCTTCGGTCTTTAGCAAGTGTCACACTTGAGTTATTCTGCCCTGACCCAGGGTCATCTCATGCCGTATAGCTGCTGCTGCAGAATGTGCAATGAAGTGCCTAGCGTATGACTTGAAAACGTAAGCTGCCTGCAAAGTGGAAAAAAACAAGACATTGTTCGATTGCATGTTGAGCTCCCCTCGCCTACAAACACACAGTCACTTCCTTCGCAGCAGTTTCAAGGCAACTCACTTTGAGATGGTTTGACATTTAAAGTCACCGTGTAATAATAATAATAATAAAAATAATAATAATAATAAAGCTTGCTTTTGAGATGGCACCTTATCGTGTCAACAGTTGTAGGAAGTCAAATATTTTCTACAGTCAGACAACAGACAGTGGCTTCAAGCCTGTGACAGAAATAGATCCCTTAGGATGTTAGTAAACCTGTTCTGGTTTTGCTTATTGTCCCACCTGATCTCCTTGGATAAACCACTGCTATTTGTTTGGTCAGCCGGGTGCCTGACACATGCGGAAACCCATCACCGCGCCTAAGAGAGTCCGAAGTAAACCGAGAATTCCAATGCATCCCACCGACACATGGAAATCCCAGAGATAGATTGTCGGAATGGAATGATCTCTCTCTCGCTGGAGGGATGCATTCCTGCTTACCTACTTCTGGATAGTATTAGGCGCTGGTTGGCGATGTCAAAGCTTGGGGGAGCCCAGAGGGTATGTTGGGGTAGAACAGTCCCTGCTTATCCGATATTCTGTAATTAATGAAATGACGTGAAAAGCGCTATGTCAAATTCAAGGATTATTATTATTATTATTATACAGTACAGTAGGGGCGGTGGGGGGAGGGGGAGTTGGCGGGGGGGGGGGCAGGGGGGGTGGCAGAGGATGAAATGGTATCATGTTTGCCATCTTTCAGCACAGATCGCTGTCAGCTTTCAAGCCAGAAGGACGTAATTAGCCTCTTAGGCAGTATGCGAGTTGTCATGGATAATAAGGCGAGTCGTACAAATGGGGAGCGTGTATTGAAGCTGACAGCCGTGATCATTACTTTATCCCAGCTCTTGTTAACAGTTGTTTTGCCAGTGACTCATTCCCCTTGATGAGAAGTCTCTGGAACCCAAGCGAGTGGCTCATCAGCGTTTTCCAACGTGTCTTGAGGAGGCTGATTTGTAACCTGTTTGGCTGCAGACATGTCTTGGTTGTAATTAAGGACAGCATTGCTGAACATCCGATGCAGAGGCAAAATACCCGATTAATGAGCCCAGAGTGCCTCAGTGCACACTCTCCCAGTGTTTTGCCATTTAAAACAAATGTCCGTTTTCGCTGAACAGATATCTTGACTAAGTGCCTCCCTCCCCCACTGCCCCGCACCCCGCCCAACTTTAGTTGTCGTCCGATGATGGTTTTCGTGCCGGGAAACCGTGTAAAAATACTTTTTATCGCAGTAAAATAACTAATGCAAGTCTTCGCTGTTACTACAGTAAGCTTGCTTTTGAAATAACGCTTTATCCTAGTGGAATCCGATAAGATCTTCTAAGAGATTGGTTAGAGCACTCGCCTCGCAAGCGAGAAGACCTGGGTTCGATTCCCAGGCAGGGCAAAACCTTAGACAAGTTTTGTTACTCCACACGCCTCTGTTTACCGGATAGTAAATAGGAACCCGGTTGTTCGGCAATTGGCGGATCTCTTTTCTGGGGGTAATAAGCCCGTAAAAAAATAAATAAATAAAAATAATAATTTGGTCACTCAATCCAGGACTGCTTGTGGGACACCGCTGGGCTCAATTGGCTGCCGCGTTTTGTCCCCCAAAACACAAGCGCTTTGAGACATCCTCCTGACACGAAAGGTGGTGGGTGGGGGGGGTTGAGGTAGGGGTTCTCTGGGAAAGAGTTTCAAAGGGAAAGAGGCAGAGGTGGGGAGGTGGAACGAAACGTGAAGCCGGGCTGGAGTTCAGTAGGTGACGGGAGGGAGGAGGTACTGGGCGGTTGGGTGTCACTGGAGTTGGCAGAGAGAGGCAACAGAACGAGACGAGGCGTTTGTGTTTTTATCTGCATCGGATTGTGCAGTTTTCCAGACACTGGCCGGAAACAAAATAAAATTGCCATTCGGAAACCTTGGAGGCAGCTTTTCTTATTTTGCTGCCAGAACAAAGGGGCAGAATAACGGCATAATAATCACGGGCTGATACACAGCCAACAACTTGAAAAGGTTTCGAAAGCGCCTGGCAGTCAGAAATTGCTGTTAAGCAGCCAGGAAGGAAGGGGAGGGGGAAGTAGGGTGGGGTGGGGGGGCTCTTCGATGAGAAGGACGGGGTTCACCACGGGTCAAGGCCATTGGTGTGCTCGTTCAGAATGAGGCCGTGGATTGTGAGTGCTTTGCTTGAGAGGGAGAGGATGTTTTTGGAGAGGCAATGTGGATGGAGGCGGTGGTGGGGGAGAGCGTAGGGGAAGGGGTTCGGGGGGTGTTGTAGATTGTGTGGGGGGGGAAATGACTGTCGACAATAAGGGGGAAGGGGAGAGTACTGAGTGCGTATTTTGCAGGCAAACCCGGCAGCTACTGTGCACAGAGCAACATCCCATAAAACAGTCAGGAAGGGAATGATGCGTTGATTGTTGGAGGATTGTTTACTGGGACACCAGTGGGGAAACATCCCACCTCAGGTGACTCCCATCTGTGGCTTTCTTCCCACTGTGTCTGGGAACTCCGCACAATACAGTGGAGGAAATCTCACTGAGAGCTGATGCGTTCGAGTTCAAGGAACGTAGCCTTGAACTCAGAGCAAAGGTCGGTTACAAAAATAAATCCAAACACATTGCTTCACTTAAAGTCGTTGCGAGACTGTGTGGAATACAGCACACTACAATGCTTTTCGCCCACAAAATACACAGTCGCTCCACTTTACAATACATCCTGTGACACGCTTTGAGACGTCTCAATGACGTGACGAGGCGCTGTATCAAATGCAAGGATAATTATTATTAATGCCATAGAAGGCTGCACGTACAGAATGTAATACAATAATAATAATCCTTGCATTCGACACAGCGTCTTTCACGTCGGGCGAAAGTCTCAAAGTGCTTGACCGGATTGGCTGTAAATTCACAGGCGAATTAATGAAAAGTTCTAATTCCCCCATTAATATTTAAGGATTGAGCTTTGATCGCTGCTCAAATTAACAGTGGTTTCTCGAGTGCCGAAAGGAATGTAATGTGTTTGAGGTGAAATCGATCCAGTCTTTGTGTCTGAGTTATGGGGAGGGGGAGTGGGGTAGGGAGACGGAGGTGGGAGCCAGGAACTGTAGGGTGAAAGTTTGGAGCCTCTCCATATACACTCAATAAATCTCCAGATTGAAGATTCTGCTGCTTGTATGGTAGTAAACACCTCTTGTAGCGTTCTACACAACAGATGGGCACAGTTTGAAGACAAATTCATTGAGCTCCACAGCGTCCAAAGGGAGCTCGGAGGAGAATCATCAAACGATCGGTATTTTGTACCCTGCGTTGGAGAGAGAGCGAGGGGATGGGGTGCTTTGTGTGGACATTGATTGAAGTGCTTGAGGTAGCTGTCTGCCTCCTCCTCTGTGAGCAGATGTTTCTATATTGGTGGGGATGCCACGCAAAGCACGTTGCAGTGCCTTGGGAGATATGATTGCCGAAATAGCACTCCATGAATTGCGTTTGCCTGCCCGAGGTCTTATCGTTAATATTAATAATAACAATATAATATTAATATTACCTAATATTGGTAATAATCATATATTGTTAATAAGTGTATCTTATTATTATTAATATTCATTTATGTTAGCTCTGGGATTCTACCTTGCGTTCGATATAAATGCAAGTTGTTGTTCATTAATCCATAATATTTCGCCCACAAAATACACAGTCACTCCACTTTACAGCATATCCTGTGAAGCGCTTTGAGACGTCTCGACCACGTGATGAAGTGCTGTATCGAATCCAGTTATTTTTATCAATAATAATAAATAATCCTTGCAATTGATACGGCGCCTCATCACATCGTCGAGACGCCTCAAAGCGCTTCACAGTATTCGATGGTAACTGTAGTGACTGTGTGGTTTTGTGGCAAATGTGGCAGCTGATTTGCACAAGGCAATGGCCTGCAAATGTATGAAGTGATTTTATCAAGGTGGGGTGGAGGTCTGGGAGCGGAATTATCGTCCAGGACACTAGGAGAAACTCACGCAGTGATTTAATGTTCGTCTGCATTCTTTTTTTTCCCCAGCCTCTGCAAAGGAAGAACTCTATACTCTGTTGTAAGAGACGCAAAAATTGTGCTGGACGTCAACAAGACCAGGCAAATCGCTCAGGAGATTGTGAAGGTGTGTGAAGCGTCCAGCATTTTAAACGGGATTGAAAAAGCTAAACCCAAGATCAATAATAATAATAGCAATTGGCTGCTGAGTTTCGCCCACAAAACGCAGTCACTACACTTTGCAGTGTATCCTGTGAAGCGCTTTGAGATGTCTCGAAGACGTGACAAGGCGCTTTATCAAATACAAGGATTATTATTATTATTAATAATACTTTTGGACTCACCGAGACAGTAGAACAAGAGGATACGGATTTAGAGTCACATAGGGTGGTTTCAGCACAGGCACCAGGAAGCTTCTCGTTACTCAGAGGATAATCAACGACTGGATCAAGGTTAGTAGGAAGGGTGGTTGAGGCCAGGGACTCATTTAACAAGCAGCTCGATGCTGTGATAGGGGGGATGAGATCGGACGGGCCGAAGGGACTTCTTCATACGAACCGATCTTGTGAAGGCGGAATGGAAAACCACAGAGTGAATAGATTGCTGTGTAACCTTAATAATAGCAGGAAAGGAATGGAAGGAAATGGTAGTATTGACGTATTTAACACTGATTCACAGTCCCTGGTGTCACCGAACAAAGCTAAGATGCACAACACACGTTAATGCTTCGGGTGGGAGCTTTAAATGAAAAAGATTCCGGTGAGGTTATGCACGTGATTCTCGCGCCAACCTGTGCCTAATATTCACCGGAATTAAAGAAAGCAGGGTGCGACATTCCGGGGGAGGGAACAGAGGGGTAGGGGGGGGTGCGAGTTGGGGTGGTGGGGGGAAGAGAATGCACATTCCATTCACATTGCTCAAGCGATTGTGAAGGTGAGTGAAGTGTACGGAGGGCGGCATATATTCAGTAAAGGCCTGATAATGCTAATAATACTCGCATTTGATGTAACGCCTTATCACGTCTTCGCGACATCTCAAAGAGCTTCACAGAATACATTGATATCTCGACCCCGGCTTAACTTGTCGCTACCAATGAAGTCATCGTGCTGTCAGTACCCCGGCTGCATTTATGTAGGTATTTATACATAAGCCTAACACTCCCCTGCTGATATCTCGTCACTGAGCCCCTTCCATCTTTGGGGTGACGAGTTATCAGGAATTTACTGTACGTGAAACTCTCTCCGTAGACAGGATCCGTGTAAGCACGGTGATGGGTTTCCTTCTGCGTGTGTCCGACGCCCGGCTGACCAAATAATATTTAAAAAATTCACATCTCGTCCAAATTGTATGAGGCCGTCAGATTGTTATCAGACGTTTTGTTTCCTCTTTCGGGTGGGCGTTTTCCGATTTGAAGTAAAGTTCCCCAAATTTGCAGTACTAAGGACAGTCCTGAATATGTTTTTACCCTTCTTCCCTCCCCACTACGACCCCTCTCCCACCCTCACTCTCCTGCAGGAGAGAAATTTTCAGAGCTTCCTTTGCGTTTTTGTGAACGTTTAATGCGTGTCAGTGCTCTGTTATTAATTATAATAGTAATCCTTGCACTTGGTATGGATATATATAATATATATATTCAACAACAACTTTCAAAAGGTACTTGAAGAGGAAAAAATTGCAAGGCTATGGGGAAAGAGCCGGAGAATGGGACTGATTGGGTAGCTCTTCCAAAGAGCCGGCACAGACACTATGAGCCGAATGGTCTCCTTCTGTGCTCTAATATTCCATGATTCTTTGATTCTATGCTATATACATCTATGTATAATTCAACTTGTGTTTCTGACGAACGGTCTTCTGGAATCTTTTCTTCAAGGGAATGGGCTACCTACACGCCAAAGGAATTCTTCACAAAGACTTGAAGTCCAAGAATGTATTCTACGACAACGGCAAGATTGTTATCACGGATTTCGGCCTCTTTGGAATCTCCGGAGCGTTGCAAGCGGGCAGGTAGAGTGAAAGCGCTGCCTCCGAACGAGCCGTTTAAACCCCCGGGCGATTTGACTGAGGCGTTCTTGTCGGAAAAGTCGCCTCTTCCCTTTACTCCGGACTTCCAGGCGAAACCGAGGAGATTGTCTCTCAGAATACTGTAGCGCGTTGATGCTGGAAAAGCAGCGAAAGCGGACAAGATAAAAGTGAATTAATAATAATCCTCACGTTCGATACAGCGGGAAGTCTCGGCAAAGTACTTTGCGGGATTTTACTGTAAAACACGGTGACTGTGTGCTATACAAGTGCAAATTGTTGTTGTTGGTTTCCCACCCCGCACCCCAGCACCCAAGCCTTGGCTTTTGCCAACCCGCACCTAATACAGAAAGAGAGTGTGTGCGCATTCCATCCCAGACACATCTACAGTCATGATTCGCTTTACACTATATTCTGGGAAGCGCTTTGAGACGTCTCAACGGGGTGATAAGGTGCTGTATCAAATGCAAGGATTATTGTTAATATTATTATTATTAAGATGAGACGCTCTTGTAGACTGAGACTAGCTGAAGTTTGGGTCTCGAGGTGCTTGATTGCCGATGAGACCTTAACTTGCGTTTTCAAGTTAACTTCATTTATTCCTACCACCACCACCCCGCCCCCCCCACTCTTCTATCTATCTTCAAGCTTAGATGGGGTGACCAAGAATGTGAAATATTAGCATTGCATGTTGCAGTTGAAGGGACACAGCATCAGAGAACAGCAGGTAATTAGAAATCACAGAGCAATGACTATCAGGACAAGCTTACCCACCAGGGAGGACTACAGCAGTAAGATCCTGGGGTGTGAGTGTCTGATGATGCACAACCCAAGAAAATCGATTCACAGAATGTAATCGCTATTCGCAGTCTAAAAGGAATCAAAAGGCAAACAGCACAGTTTTAATCACTTTCCTCCTTCAGTCTAATCACTTTGGGACGTCCTCCCGACGTGAAAGGCGCTCCATAAATGTAATTTTGTTGTTGTTGTTCTTTGGTATCATAACAATAATAATCCTTACCTATTCACACACCGCCTTTCGCGTCGGGAGGACGTCTCAAAGCGCTTCACAGGTCACGCTTTAAAGCCTAGTGACTGTGTTTTGTCAGAGAACGCAGCAGCCAATTTGCGCCCGAGAAAGTCCCTTGAACCGCCATCAAGTGAGTGAACAATTTTATCTGGGGGTGGGTGTCATGTCAGCCAGGTCACTAGGAGAAACTCCCTTCTCTTTGAATAGTGCCATGAGACTGTTTGTGGGACGCTGCTGTGCGCAATTGGCCTCTGCATTTCGCCCACAAAATACACAGTCAATTCACTTTACAGTATATTCTGTGAAGCGCTTTGAGACGTCTCGAAGATGTGATGAGGCGCTGTATGAAATGCAAGGATTATCATGATTATTATTATTATCTTTAACATTCACCTGAACAGGGACCTGTGTATAAATGCAGTCCTAATGGGAAGGGGTTGGAGTCGGGAGTCCACCTATAGCCTCAACGCCCAGGATTTGCTTCACGCTTCAGAACGTGAGCATTGACGAGCTCTCTGTGAGGAGTTGATGTTCCTGGGAGCGTTTTGTGAACAGATTTGCTACTGACGATTAACTAGCTGTGAAGGTTACTGTCTGGAAGCGACAATTTGAACAATTGAAAGGCTTTTAACTTCACGGGTGTGGGGTGGGATGGAGAGGTCAGATCATTAGCAGCAAGAACCATTGCTTTGATTGAATTTGATATGCAGAGTGACTTTGGGGGAGTTGGGGCAGGGGAGAGAAGGGAGAGTTGAGGGTTGTGTGTGTGTGTATGTGATGGGGGGCACCAAGTGTGGGGGGAAAGAGAGAGGCGACAAAGAAAACAAAACACTCGGAAGCGCTTCGTAGAATCACACAGCACAGAAGGAGGCCATTCGGCCTTTTGTGTCTATGCCGGCTCTTTGGAAAGACCTATCCAATTCAATCCCACTCCCCCGCTCTCTCCCCGTAGCCCTGCAAACTTGTCCTCCCAAATAATTATCTACTTCTCTCTTAAAAGTTGTTATCGAATCGGCATCTGTTCACCCTTTCAGGCAATGCATTCTACATCCCAACAACTCGCTGTGTGAAAAAATTTCTCCTCACCTCCCCTTTGTTTCTTTTAACAACTATTTCAAATCGGTGTCCTCGGGTTACCGACCCACCCGCCAGTGGAAATAATTTCTCCTTGTTCACCCTGTCAAATCCCCTCATAATTTTGAAAACTTCTATTAAGTTTCCTTTTAACCTTCTCTGCTCCAAGGAAAATAACCCTCGCTTCTCTAGCCTCTCTTGATAACTGAAGTCCCCCATTCCTGGTACCATCCTGGTAAATCGTCCTGTATCTCAGTGGTTGGAGCACTCGCCTTGCAAGCGAAACACCTGGGTTCAATCCCAGGCCGGGCGAAACCTTGGGCAAGTTTCCGTACTCCACACGCCTAATGATAATCCCTTCAAAAAACAAAAACAATAATAAATTGGTCATTTTCAATCCACGACTGTTTGTGGGACGCTGCTGTGCACAATTGGCTGCCACGTTTCGCCCACAAATATACAGTCAATTCACTTTACAGTATATTCTGTGAAGCGCTTTGAGACGTTGAGAAGACGTGAAAAGCGCTATATCAAATCCAAGGATTATTATTATGAATCTCCTTTGCACCCTCTCCAATGTCTTGACATCCTTCCTAAAATGTGGTACCCAGAACTGAACACAGTCTCTAGCTGAGGCCTAACCAGTGTTTATAAAGGTTCATCATATCTTCCTGATGTTTGTATTCTATGCCCCTATTTATAAAACCTAATATGCTTTTTTAACCGCTTTATCTACCTGTCCTGCCACCTTCAAAGATTTACTTATATGAACCCTCAGGTCTCTGTTCCTTCACCTCCTTAAGGATTGTACCATCAGCTTATTATTGCGTCTCCTCATTCTTGCTCCCAAAATGCATCACTTAGCATTTGTCCACATTAAACTTCATCTGCCATGTGTCTGCCCATTTTACAAATCTGTCTATGTCCATTTGCAGTCTGCTACTATCCTCTTCACTGTTTACTACATTTCCTTAGTATCATCTGCAAACTTGGAAATTGTACTCCCTATATCCAAGTCCAGGACATTTATATAGATCAAAAACAGCAGTGGTCCCAATACTGACCCGTGGGGGACACCACCGGACACTTCCCTCCAATCAGGAAAACAAACGTTCACCACCACTCTCTGCTTTCTGTCTCCCAGTCAGTTCTGTATCCGCTGCCACTGTCCCTTTAATACCGGCGGCTTCTATTTTGCTTACAAGTCTCTTAAGTGGCACTTGATCAAACGCCTTTTGAAAATCCATATAAACTACATTAACTGCACTACCTTCATCCACCCTCTCCATTACTTCATCAAAAAACTCTCAGGTTTGTTAGACATGATTTGCCTTTAACAAATCCATGTTGGCTGACCTTTATTAACCCATATTATTCTAAGTGAAAATTTATTTTACCCTAAATTATAATCTCTAGAAGTTTCCCCACTACTGACGTTAGGCTGACTGGCCTCATGTTCAAGGGTTGGCATTGAACCAGTCTCAGCTGCCCTGCCATATTCCCAGACCTGGTTTATATTGTTTTAATATAACTTATATATTTTATAATTATGCACCTCTTTTCCCCCTCGGCACCTAATTCCCACTCTCACCAAATTCCTTAATAAAATTCTCACTCTGTTCCACCTCATTCAGTTCCCTCCTTACACTGCTAGGCTCTCTGCTCAAGTGAGGCTCTCGCAAGGCTTCTCCTTTATATGGGACTCAAACAAAGGCACCCAGTTTCGACTGGTCAGCAGATTTTTTTAATCCCCAACACATGGCCTATGATTAACCGCTGATTGGTTTTTTTGCCCTCTTACATATAAGGTTGCCTCTCCCTCATGATAGATATCCCAGTCTTCTGTTGAATGGAAGAGTTCTCTCTCACTCTCTTGGTATCTCTCTCGCTCTCTTGTTAGCTCTCTCACTCTTGGTAGCTTTCTCGCTCTCTTGGTATCTCTCTCGCTCACTGGTATCTCTCTTGGTATCTCTCTTGCTGAAGAATTCCCACTCTCACCAAACTCCTTAACAGAATTCTCAGTCTGTTCCATCTCGTTCAGTTTCCTCCTCATGCTGCTGGGCTCTCTGCTCAAGAGAGTTTGAGTCACAATGTGGTACTTGTTAGCGGTGAAGCACACAGGAAATTCAATGACATGCTGTTCAACCTTAAAAGTATTTCTTTGACACACACAAAGCTGAAATTGTTTATGAGTGAGTGTGCAGCAATGCCCATGGTATTGTGGTCACATTTGAGGCCAAAGCTTTCTTCAAATGAAACCCAAATGACTGCTTTCCTGAAAGGCACGAAACGTTAATGTTGCATTAAGGTATCTGGGAATGAAGTTCTTTAGGGATTGACAGTAAAGGTTATCCGTTTAGTCTTTACTGATGAAAAAAGAAGACAGAGAGGCAGAGAGTGCTCTGTCTGCAATTTCTTCTGTCACTGATCATTGACCGTAAAACCTTCCACAAAGTTGCGGCACTTTACAGTGGCATCCTGCAAAGCGTTGTGAGACATCCTCCAGACATGAAAGGCGCAAGGATAATATTGATAATAAATAATAAATTCCTTGTGTATGATATCGTGTTTCATCCCGTTGCACAGATTCTTAACTGTTAGTTAAAGTAGTTAGGCTGTGTATTTGTAGGCAAACGAGGGAGCCAATTTGCACACAGCAACGTCTCCACAAACAGCCATGAAGTGAATGAGCGAATCAATGAATAATAATAATAATAATCCTTGCATTTGATACAATGCCTTATTACGCCATTGAGACATTGCAAAGTGCTTCACAGAATATACTGTAAAGTAGATTGACTGCATTTTGTAGGCGAAACCCGACAGTCAGTTTGCGCACAGCAGTGTCCCACGAATAGTCGTTTGTGGCGATTTTATTTGGGGGATTTTCAGCCAGGACACCGGGAGGAACTCCTCTCTCTTTTCGAATAGTGCCGTGAGACCTTTGACATTCACACGAACAGGCAGAGGGAACCTCTGTTTAATGTCTCACCTGATGGACGGCACCTCTGACAATGCAACCTACCCCCACCCCCCAGCACCGCAGCGGTGTGTCAGCTTAGACTATGTGATTCCAAGTCCCGACGTGGGGGCTTGAACCCACAACCTTCGGATTCAGAGGCGAGAGCGCTACCGACTGAGCCAGTCTGACACACATTATTGTCATCATAATTATCATTCTTGACTTGGTGGCTATCAGGTGGACTAAGCTAATTGGCAATCTTGTTCCCTTGCTCAGGTGCTAGTTTACATCGGTCAATATTCATTGTTTTGCCTGACCGGCTGGATCCAGACAGAATTTGCAGCTTCTCCTGACAAACTGAGCCAAATGTAATCAGCCAGTGGTGGGAACAGCCCACAGCAACATCCGCTCGTCTCTGTAATCAATTTTGATTTTGAACAGATTTCACGTCTGGCTGGGTTCAGTCAATTTTATAATCGGTTGTGATTGGGAACAAGTGTTCCAAGCATTTGACCCCACAATTCGAGATAATATTAATAACAACGCTAATAATAGCAATAATAGTCCTCGCATTTGATACAGCGCCTTATCACGTAAACAGCGCGTCTCGAAGCGCTTCACGGGATTTTACTGCAAAATAATCATAATAAATAATAATGCTTGCATTCGATATCGCAGCTTATCACGTCGTTGAGACGTCTCACAGACTATACTGTAAAGTGGATTGACCGTGTATTTTCTGGGTGAAACGCAGCAGCCAATTGCGCGCAGCAGTGTCCTGCAAACAGTCGGGAATTGAGTGACCAAATTTTTCTTTGGGGAGTGGGGGGAAGCAATCCGCCAATCGACTATCAACCAGGTCCCTACTTACTGCTCGGTAAACAGAGACATGTGGAGTAAGGAAACTTGCCTATGGTTTTGCCCCGCTTGGTAATCGAAACCTGGTCTTCTCGCTTGTGAGGCGAGCGCTCTAACCACTAGGCTACGGGACTCCATGTGGCGAGTGAGTATGACGTAGAGGAACCCAGCAGGCAATTCGCGCACAGCAAACATCCCCCAAAAAGCTGGGACGTGAATGCTCGAATCTCTGCTTCCGTACAGATTTATCGGAGTACTGTTTACTGCGGTTCGTGTGGGTAATTTAAATTTTATTCTCTTTAACTTCCAGAAGAGAGACTGAGTTGAGGATCCCAAATGGCTGGCTGTGTCACCTGGCTCCTGAAATCATTCAGCAGCTCTCCCCCGCTACAGATGAAGACAAGCTCCCGTTCTCTAAGCAAGCGGATGTCTTTGCATTCGGGTCAGTTGTGTGTTGTGTCAGGAGATAGGCATGAGAATGTCTGATTTGGATTCTTATCAAAAAGAAATAAGTGCAAAAAGTTGGGAGAGACTAGTTGCTGACTCACATTTTTTATTTCCCAAAAAGTAGAGGAGTCGCTTGCTATCAGTTAGTGGAATATATGTAAATCAAAATACAATACATACAGTAGAGCTAAGGCTCACACTTCTGGTGATTTTACAAACACTGCAGCAACACTGTCAATGTTGTTGAGAGAAAAGGACGAAACAAATTAAAAAGATAATAATAATAATAATCCAGCGCCTTTCAGATCAGGAGGACGTCTCAAAGCGCTTCACAGGATTTTACTGCAAAGTACAGTGACTATGTGTTTTTGTGATATTTGCTGTAAGGCAGGTGCTATAATTGACGCAGAGGTTAATCGTATCAGATTATATGAATTCTCCAATTAGGCAAATTCATCACAATGGCATGTTTGCATGTGTTTGAATAAGACGTGTGATTTTTGTGTTGTTGTTCGAGCTCCAATTAAAGTCTCGAGAGTTTTTCACGTCGAGAGAGAGCTAAAGGTACTGTGTTATCATAAGAACAACAACAATGATTTGCTTTGACAATCTTATCTTCCATAAAACCATTCCTACTCATTGAATAATAACGTCTAATAATATACTGTAACAATAATCCTTGGGTTTGTCATGCGCCTTGTCATGTCTCAAAGCGCATCGCAGGATTGTACAACTACAACAACTTGCACTTACATAGCCCTCCCCCCACCCCCATGCCGGGTAACGTCCTGGAGCGCTTTTACTGGAGTGGCGTGACTGTGCATCTCGGAGCGGATTCTACCGTGAAGTGCAGTGACTGCACTTTGTGCGGGCGAACCTGGCAGCCAATTCGCGCACAGCTGTGAAGTGAGCGACACCTTACGGGAGGGGGAAGAATCTCACTTGCGGTCAGGCCTTCAGGAGACGTAGTGCGGTGCTGGTTTTGGGGGTTTGAAAGAGATGTGTTATCTTTTACGACAGAACCATGTGGTACGAATTACACGCACGAGAGTGGCCTTTCAAGAACCAGCCGACGGATGCGATCATATGGCAAGCAGGACGGGGAATGAAACCTAACCTAACCCAAATCGGCATGGGGAAGGAGATTTCGGTACGTAGGAAGCGCTCGAGTAATAGCGACCGCTATTTTTTTTTTCCTTTTCGTTTATACATTTAAACGCGTCCGTCTGAATTTTCTTCTTTGCTCCGCCATCAGACACCATTACACTCGTCTGCCACAGAAAAGAAAAATTCTTTGCAAGAAGAAAAAAAGACGGGGGTGGGTGGGGGGGTCAATGCTGAGCCTGGGGAAGCGGGGGGAGGTGACCGTAGGCAGGGTTGAAGAGGAAGGTCTTCGATCGTGCCCATGGCATCGAATCTATTATTTTTGGGGGGAGCTTATTTGCGACTTTATACCTTCTGTGGTCAGGTGTTCATAAACTGGGTCTTTCCACGGCGTTTAGCCTTTTTGTTCTGGGAACAAGCGAAGGGAATGGGCTAAAGTGCTACGGTTCAGTGGGGATTGTTGGGCTGCTGCATGTGAATGTTTTCAATCCAAGTGTTCCTTGTCCATTTCGTGCCAATTCCAGGATATCCTGCTTTTCTGTTGGGCTTACGAACAGGAAGACCGTCCCAGCTTCTCCAAGCTCATGGAGCTGCTGGAGAAACTGCCCAAGCGAAACCGCCGCCTCTCCCACCCAGGGCACTTCTGGAAGTCAGCTGAGTACGTTTCCCTTAGCTCCAATGTGTGAAAGGATTCAGTATTCGCACTGATGGAATTTTGGATGCAGTCTTAACATTTCACGCGTCACATCAGAGGGAGGGCTGGGGATGAGGATGGGAAGGGTTGAGGAAGCTTTAACCTCAAGGGGATTGTTCTAACTTCTCCACCACCCAACCGAGGAGATGCATCAGTTGATAGCCCGAAACCGCCCTCCTCCCCACCCTCCCACCACCCCCCCACCCCACCACCCCCAAAAAAGAGAAGAACGCGAGAGGAGACACACAGAGAGCGAGAGAGAGAGAGAGAGAGAGAGAGAGAGAGAGAAAGAGAGACAAAGAATGTGTGTTAACATGATCCAAAACCCCTGTGATGGAGCAGTCAGAAACGAACACACTTTTTTTGGCCAGGTTTTCCTCTGAAGCGGGGGAAACCAAGGGGGCAAAGAGATCGGATGGAGATTGGAGATACCACCTTGGCTTCGGCTGATAGGACTTTATTCATGTCTGGAGGTGTTGACATCCAAGGAGGCATAAGGTAATGGAGAGATGGAGAGAGAGAGAGCGAGAAAGAGAGAGAGAGAGAGAGAGAGAGAGAGAAAGGCGCTCAACTGGGGGAAAAAAATAAATACATGTGAAATCTCATGAATGGATGGGAGGGGGTTGTATTTGTGTGTGGGGTGGGGTAGGGGTGGGGTGAAACAACTACCAAACCATTACCTTTCTGGTCATCTTGTGCTTGCTCAGTCTCTGGGTTTGTCTGAAAGAAAGCTGTCCATTCAACCCCCTCCCCCATGAAAACCTGATAAGACCACATTTTTGGGGAGGGGGTGTGGGGTTGGGGGGAGAGATGGGGGCGAGGGGCTGGGAGAAAAGAGATGAATAATGACCTGGAGCTTGGTGTGGTCCGTTCTGAATTTTTTTCTTCTTCAACTGTATGAAAGTTCCTGGAAATAAAATAGTATTTTAAATCTATGCGATGCAAACTGACTTCATATTCTTGACCAATGTGATCCTATCAGGTTTAACATTTTTTTCTGCTTTTTTTTTGGGTGGGGGTCAGTGTGGGTGTCTTGACCCATCACTGTGCTTAAGAGTATCCAAACCAGACCAAGAGTCCCATATACATATATCTCTGCAGGTGGCAATTCCCCTTAGTATGGAATGCGCACTCTCTCTCTCTCTCTCTCTCTCTCTCTTTCTCTCTCCCCCCTCCTCGGAGGGACACACCCTTCTTCCCTACTTTTGGAGAGTATTAGGCTTAGTTGGGATAGAGCCAAGGGTGTGAGGGACCTTAAGAGTGTGCATTGGAGTTCAACCAGCTAAACCCTGCATGGAGAGAGGCCTGCGTGGCAAGCTTTCCTGCGTTGGTTTGCCCAGTTAGGACCACCCTATGTATAGAAACGACACTCAAAACCCCAGTGTTTGCTCTTTCCTAAGACAATAATAATGGACACGTTACATCTGGGTTCGTTACCAAAGGAATGGTGAGGGTTGAACGATGAACTCACTGGAGCTTTCTCGTTCTTGCCGCTATATACAGTCAGGATTCTGATGTTATCTCTGCTTGTGAGCAACTTTTGCGTCGATCTTGAATTGTCACATGCAGCAAGAATCTAGTGTTTTGAGTGTGGGAGGGAGAGAAAGAACAGCTGATCCCAAGACAGTCTAGACTCTGTGCTCTCTCCCCTTCACATAACTTCACTGCCTCTTGTCTCTTTCTACCTCTCAATACCATCTCTTTTCCCAGCTGATGACACCCCCCCCCAATCTCATCTGCCTCAATTTTTTTTTCTTGATACAAATATTGAAATGGTTTTCGACGCACCATAAGGAGAGCGCGCGTTTCACATTCAAAACTAATAGTAATAAGTTGGTCACTTCAATCCACGATTTGGTGGGATGTCGCTGTGCGCAATTTCCTGCACGTTTGAGCCACAAAATATACAATCAATTCATATTTACAGTATATTCTGTGAAGCATTGTTCTGGGTTTACTGTCTCAATCCCCTCAGAGAGGTTTACATGACTCAGTTTTCTTATTCAGAGGAATTCCACTCAATTCTAGACTTACTCTATTGGCAGAGAGTTTCAGAGCGTCAAGAATGTGCCTAATTTTTGGATTTATTCTGAACTTTGAAGTGGCTTTCTTGGTAGCTACTTAGAAACACTCACAGAAATACCGGCTTCAGAAAACATTTTGCGACAGCAACAACAACTTGCATTTATATAGCGGCCTTCACACGGGCCAGGGTTTCGGAAGGGCTTGAGGGCGCTTTGAAGAGCTGCGTTTAAGAATTTTCCAAATTTTGGGCACTGTAAAATGCTCTGGCAAAATTGCGAACTTCAAATATTCTTGCGTTAAGTTAAATTAAAGTGCTTCACTTTCTGCTGTGTGAAATAACACAGTCCAGCAGTTATGAATCGTGTGAACCACTAGGGAGCATGACTCCAAACCATGACACCCAAGTACAGCTAACTCTAGCCTCAAGCCAAACCATTGGGTTTCTACTATGACACTGGTCAACTTGACCTGACATTGACTATCGATATGGTTCGTTCACAAAAAGGGGCAAGGGGATTTCTCCCCAGTGTCCTCACCGCCAGTCCCCCGGAATGAGAGCAAGAGAGAGAGAGAGAGAGAGAGAGAAAGAACGAGAGAGAATATATACCAGAAAAGTGTTCAGCTTTTTCTTTCCGCCAATGGATAAGCACTTTCTACTGTTCCCGTCCACATCAACAGCAACGACTTGCATTTATATAGCGGCCTTCAATGTTGAGAACCATCCATTGGAAGCCAACTCGGGCTTTCCTGTTTGTTTGCGTTCGATTGCAGAAATATTATTTCGCTTTTAAATCTTGCACCCGGTTGTACGTTTATGAAACGCCCTTAAAAACGATTATAGACAACATCCATGTTTGTGTTCCTCTGCAAAATACACAAAACCATGTCACTTTGTTGCATTTCATACAACACTTTTTTGGTGCCTCGGATTTGAGCATTTATTTACTCAATGTCCCTCGCTCCTTGTCCCGTCCTTATGACTGCAGTAACATTAATAACAATAATAACAAATTACATCTGTAAAGCGCCTTTCATGTCGGGAGGACGTCCTAAGGCACTGGACAGTCAGGGATTTGGACCCGAGCTGGGGGTTGGGATCAGGGGGTGATTGGAGGGTAGGGAGGATAGGGGTAGGAGGACAGGGATGGTAGGGATAGGAGAGCAGGAAGGGTAGGGATAGGAGGGTGGCTGAAGGCACGGTTGAAGAGAAGGGTCTTGGGACGCGCTTTGAAGGGGGCAAAGCAAGGAGCAAGTTGAAGGGACTGGGGGATGGAGTTCCAAAGGGTGGGGGCAGAGAAGGCTGAACAATAATAATAATCCTTGCATTTGATATCACGTCGTTGAGACGTTTCAAAGCCCTTCACAGAATATATTGTAAAGTGGACTGACTGTATTTTGTGGGTGAAACGGTTCCTAATTCAAAGATCAGGGCGCTATTTTTTTTTCCGCTCCCAATTTCGCCCCCAGCTTTACCATCTGTAATCAGAAAGCACAGGAGCATTGCGTCATCAAAGAACAGAAATAGCATAGTTAGTAGTCTTCTATTTTAGATATTGAGTTTGGTTGATGTTGCTAAGGGTAATCACATAAACCAGCCTTAGCAACAGATGCACGTATTAGTTTTTTTGATCGCATTGCTCTGTGGGAATGGAACAGCTTAAAAAAACGTAGTCAATATTTACTATTGACTGAAAGCTGACTGAATATTTTACTGGAGTTTTTTTTTCACCAACGGGCTTGCGAGATAGATAATAATAGCGAAATGCGGAGGTGGTCGCTGGCTGAAAGCATCTAATGGGGTAAATAATAATAATAATAATCCTTGCATTTGATAAAGCACCTTATCACGTCTTCGAGACGTCTCAAAAAAAATACTTTCAATAAACCGTAGAATGAATTGGCTGTATGTTTTGCGAGACAAAATTCCATGGCTGTTTGTCGGACTTTGCCGTGCGCAAATTGGCTGCCATTTTTGCCCACAAAATACGGTGACCGATCGGAGGTGTCTGTTTAGATGCACTTTAAGGATCCCGTAGCATTATTCGAAGAGAGAATGGAGTTTCTCTCGGTGTCCTGACCGACAGTCCCCCAGATAAAATCGGTCACTGTTCGTGGGACGTTTGCTGCATGTAAATGAGCTGCTGTGTTCACCTAACCTACAAGTATACAGTCACTACACTTTGCTTTGAGACTTCCTCCTGACGCAAAAGGCACTGTACCAAATGCAAGAATTATTGTTATTAATATTAAGATGAAATGCAGTGAAAAGAGCACTATTTTATTTTTGAAAACATGCTTTTTCTCTGTGCTGTCTTATTGGCAGCTGAAGTCCAGAAATTCCGCCCGATCTTAGCCTTTAGCCTTAAAGTTTAAGGCAGCACAGAATTGTAAACGATTCTGAAAGTCCGGCATAATTTCGAAGCCTATGGAGACGAAAGGGGTGAAGAAAGGGAAAGACGATCACGGATTCAGGTTCATTTTATGCGTTGAGGGCAGGGTTGGGGGGGAGGGAGTATTTCATTGGAGAGTAATTGTGATGAAAGATTGCAAACAGCATCCTATTTTGTTCTAATTCAGCAATGAGGATGGAAGAATTACTCAATTATTGCCCTCTTAAGATTCATTGGAGGGCCCTTGCAATTATAGCGTAATGAGCTTTTACCAAACATCGATTCTTCAGAACGAAACAATAATTTAAATTAATTTTTTTTAAAAAAATAACACAATTTTGCTGCCCTTCCGAATTGTAACATTTGAAAATCAGCTAATTATATACTGAATGCTTTTTCTCTCCCACCACCTTGGTTCATCAAATTTCTAAGCGATTGCTGGAAGATATGGAGCTTAATTAAAAATAAAAATCTGGCTCGTTACAATGAAATAAGGGTTAAAATGAATAAAACCAATTTTGCTGCTCATCTGCATATTAACATTTAAGAGACTTATGGGTTGTTCTGGCAGAGGAGTGGAAAGGTGATAATAACAATAATAATCCTTACTTTTGATATTACGCCTTATCATGTTGTTGAGACATCGCAAAGCACTTCACAGAATATACTATTAAGTGAATTGATTGTACATTTTGTAGTCTGTCTGCCCCCACGCTCTGGAACGCCATCCTACATTCCCTTTTC